TAGATTTTCGAAGCTCTCTCTTAGCGCTAAGATAGTCGTAAGTTAATGTTAATGTATGGCACTTACGGCTATCTTAGCGCTAAGCGAGCTTAAAAAAATCTAGGCCCTGGGTCCGATCCACAAACCGTACGTGGCGTTACAGCATTCGTAAGCCTGTGAAAAACATGGAGTAACGCTACGAACGGTTTGTGGATAGGGCTCCTGGCGACCATTAGAGCACATCGTGTCGATCACTTCGACCTACACATACCTAGACCTATGGTGAGGACTATGGGGGAAGCTCTTCCCAAAACCGATGACGTAGCTGAAGCCCGTGTCTCCGAGAGCATAGTGGATCTGTTTCATGGCCCACTCCCGATACTTGGCAGGACTGAGTCCTTCTTCCGCCGCCATCAGAGCGACCAGTGCCATGTTGGCTGTAGTAAAACATGTTAGGCATTGAGCTGGCAGGACCATGTAAAACCGTGGGAACCGTGACAATATGTAAAACCGTGGGAACCGTGACAATATGTAAAACAGTGGGAACCGTGACAATATGTAAACCGTGGGAACCGTGACAATATGTAAAACAGTGGGAACCGTGACAATATGTAAAACAGTGGGAACCGTGACAATATGTAAAACAGTGGGAACCGTGACAATATGTAAAACAGTGGGAACCGTGACAATATGTAAAACAGTGGAACCGTGACAATATGTAAAACAGTAGGAACCGTGACAATATGTAAAACAGTGGGAACCGTGACAATATGTAAAAATGTAAAAACAGTAGGAACCGTGACAATATGTAAAACAGTGGGAACCGTGACAATATGTAAAACAGTGGAACCGTGACAATATGTAAAAACAGTGGGAACAGTGACAATATGTAAAACAGTAGGAACCGTGACAATATGTAAAACAGTAGGAACCGTGACAATATGTAAAACAGTAGGAACCGTGACAATATGTAAAACAGTACGGAACAGACATGTATATACCATCCCAGTATGTAACTGTGTAACTATTTCACCGAAGAAAACAAACACAGAGCAAATCAAATATCCGAAGCTTTTGATTAAATTTTGAATTAAATTAAAGAATTTTAGATGTACTATGATGGATGACACATTTCTGACAGATTAGCCATTACGCACTCAATGTGAAAAACAACAGTATTGACAGATTTAACGCCGCACCTTCAGAAAGTTATTCAGGAATACTGTTGGATTAATTGGTTGGTTTGTTGTTCAACGTCTCTCTCAGGAACTTTCCAGCTGTATGGCGACGGTCTGTAAATAATGGCGTCTTAGCCACACAATCTACTGGTCAACAGTTGATATATCCAGCCTGACCACCGGATCCCGTTAGTCGCATCACGACAAGCATTGGTTTGCTGGCCATTAGTTTGAAGTCTGATCGTTTAGAGTAGAACCTTCTTAAAACATTTGACATGCTTAGACTCAGTATGGCTGTCAGTACGGATATTGCAGACAGTAATTACTTACACGCATATCTGAGCGATCCCCACTGCAGCCTCCACGCCAGACCTTTGGGCGTGTATCTGATGACTTGGTTGGGGAACCAGTAATGCTCGAATGTGTCTATCATGTCCTGCTTGTACTTGTCGTTCTTGGTGAACTTGTAAAACAGAACCTGTAACGAGAAGGATTTATGTACTGTAACTGTGTGAAACTCGGAGAAAAGGAAAGATAATAAAATTACATTCTTCCTTTTTCTGGACGACAATTCAAATGTTGGCATATGAAAAAAACAAGATTACCTTGCATATAAACGCATATGGACCGGATTGAACTCTATATATGGTAGGTTCAATGAGATTAATCCTTGCTTAGACCAATACCTAGGTCGCAGAGGAGTATTATGGATATAGGTGAGGTGAGGTGAAATTGGGTTTAACGTCGCGCTGGAGAATATTTCGCTCATATGACGACGTGCATGCGTGTGTATGTGTATGTGCGGCTGCTTGTACTAGCCCAGACTTAAGCTGGTTTTATAGTGCTAGCCCGGCCACGCTGATTTTCACTTTCATTTGTTCATGTTTTTGAGTTCGTTAGCATGGCATTAACTATGGTGGATGATTAGGGCCATCGCTTTCTCGCCTTAAAATTCGGAGGCGAGAAAGCGAGAAAGTGATATCACGAGACGAGAAAGCGATAACACGAGACGAGAAAGCGATAACAGGAGATGAAAAAAGCGATAGCGTGAGACGAGAAAGCGATAACGCAAGATGAGAAAGCGATAAAGCGAGACGACAAAAGCGATAACACGAGATGAGAAAGTGATACCATCACGCGGGAAAGCGAGAAAGCGATAGAGCAAGAAAGCGATAGAGCAAGAAAGCAATAGAGCGAGAAAGCGATAGAGCGATATACCATGGCAAGAAAGTGAGAGTGAGAAAGCGATAGAGCAAAAAAGCGATAAACCAAGGCGAGAAAGCGATAAAGCGAGAAAGCGATAGAGCAAGAAAGCGATAGAGTGAGAAAGCAATAGAGTGATATACCAAGGCGACAAAGTGATCGAGTGAGAAAGCGATAGAGGAAAAAGCGATAAACCAAGGCAAGAAAGTGATAGGGCGAGAAAGCGATAGAGCGAGAAAGCAATAGAGCGAGAAAGCGATAGAGCAAGAAGCGATAGAGCGATAGAGCGATAAAGCGATAGAGTGACAAAGCGATATACCAAGGTGAGAAAGTGATAGAGTGAGAAAGCGATAGAGCAAAAAAGCGATATACCAAGGTGAGAAAGCGGTAGAGCGAGAAAGTGATAGAGCGATAGAGCAAGAAAGCGATAGAGCGATAGAGCAAGAAAGCGATAGAGCAAGAAAGCGAGTCAGCCCCTATAATTAACAGTCTTCGTATTGTTGAGGAAACGTTCTTGTCTCTGGCATGGAAATGCCAGCAATTCATAAAGGTTCAGAGATATATGAACTGCACTCGACAAGACTAAAAGATTAAAACCCTCCCCACCCCCCACCAGATTTCGACCTGCACAGACAAGAGCGACTTTCAGGGCTTTTGTAATCAAATTCACTCTGGTTAGAACCTATGTTTCTGTGATAAAACAGAAACACTCGGAATTGAACTGACGCACACATAGTTAGATCCGAGTCCGTTTTACATCGACCACCGACGTCCGGTTAACTTTTGACTCGGGAAGAAGGCCTGTGAATTGTAGTTTGTAAATCCGTCTTGAGGAAGGCAGGTTAGAGTTAGCTTCCTTTTGTTAAATACTTCCTTTGACCATAGGCATCTTACATTTTGATCCTCACTCAAACAAGATAGAAAGCAGGAATGCATACATATGTCAGACATGCGCCCTGTCTCAAGTGCATGTAAAAAATAACGTACATTGTTGGCCGCCTGGTTGTCGTCCCAACTCATGCCCCACGCCTCGCCAGGTTGGTGATATTTCTCGGCCTCTGTCAGATATTTAGAATCTCCAGTCGCCTGATACAGCCATAGTCCGGCCCAGGCGAGCTCGTCCGTAGTGTTCGTGGACCTGCAGTTCAGAAATGTCATATCCACAATCATACAAAAACACAAGGCGTTTAAAATCCACAGTACTTCACAGGTATGTTAACACATTCTTCATTAGACTAATGCTTAGTCTCTGAATATATATATAAGTTCAATAGTAACAAACAAGTCCATTTAAACTGAAAAAGAGACCCAGGGAGACCAAAGATTCAGAACCTGGGGAAATCAAGATTTGCTTTATTTAGGGCTTTAGCATTGCAGAGAGGGCTAGGCAGTAGGGAAAATAATGAGGTTCAGGGACTGTGAGACAGACTAATTCTACATGTACGTTAACACATACTGTCGGTTGCCAATGTGGCTATTAAAAGACAACGAATAAAAATTGTATAAAGCAAATATTTCCAGCATTTCTAAAGCACGTCTCCCTGCCAATGCTTTAGTTTACAACTTACGGGTAGAACTTGGCGGCAGCACTGACACTCTGACTGTAGCGACCTTGGTGCTGCATCGCAAAGTCATATAGTTCCTTGGCATGAGCGAGGAGCTTCGTGGAGTAGGCGGGGATCTGTCCATATTTGCAACATAAGAATGGCTTTCTTATGACCTGTCCTGAAGACTTGTTGATACGCCTAGCAGTTTCACTTCCTACCACTTCAATAGTCTCTTCAGGAGATCCGGCCTATGTTATACATTTACACAAACGGCAAGTCTGTTTCATTTTTGTTTTGTGGTATTTGCATTTAGACCAACAATGGGAAACAGAAAAAGACATTAAATTACCTTTGTCCTCGAAAGCCATTGAGCCAGCAGCCATCGCAGCAGCAGTTTGTCCAGCTACGTCACTTCCGGGACTGCTTGCGGTTATTTTATAAGCGGGTCTGGCCATCGTCATATCTTCGGGTCTTCCCCAGTAGTTGTGATCAGCGTCTCCGTTACCGACCTTCAGAATGACGCACAAATGAAAATATGGTATACATGTTTCACAATTGAGTCCTCGATGAAATTTCTCCTTATTCAGAATGTGGTGTGAAGCCCACTTCTGGAGTCCACGCCGTGATATTGCTGGAATATTGCTAAAACGGCTTAAAACCATACTCACTCACTCACTCTTTATTTCAGAATGCATAGCTACAAAATAGCATTCGCTAACTACTCATTATATGTAAGTACATTATTGCTTGTTTAACGCTGTATTCTGATATATTCCAGTTGTATGCCGGTGGTTGGTAATTATACTACAGTCCGTTTGAGTAAGAAACGGACCGATGAATTGCAAATTTTATCATTGTACGAAATTGCCACATAAATATAAATAGTAAACATGTTTATCATTTACTAATACCCAACAGCTTTCTTATATTTGAAAATTTTCCAGACTCCACCACAAAAGTTGTTTAAGAAACTATCATCATTGAAAATGCAAAAGTTGTTATCTGTCGCGGTGGGGTGAAACCGCAGAAACGGAACAGCAACTATCTCGTCGTGCACAGGATACACATGCCTGACGAAAAATGAAGTTGAATGCTGACGTGAAACAGTTGATGATTAAAGTGTACGATTTTTTCCGTGCTGAAGCCGAAAGGGGCAAACCATTTTATGCAATTAATAAATTCCGTAAGCGGGCAGCAAAAGCTTTGGGAGTATCAGCAAGGGTGCTGACAAATGTTCTGGAACACAAACATTGTGAGGGTGATGCGAAGCAGGTAGGCTCGTGTCAAAATCACACCAATTAAAACATTTGGACAACTTTCAAAAGAACCTTGTAAGGCAGTCTATCAACAAGCTCTATTCTGGAAACAAATACATGTCGCCGAAAACTTTTAAAAAGCATTTGAAGCAAGAACACAACCTCAGAGTTTCAAAGTACAAACTCTGGCAACTCTTACACTCTTCCGGGTATCGTTATAAAAACCAAATTCCGGGGGAGAATAGGTCAGTACTCTGTGAACGCCCTGATATCGTTCGCTTGAGAAATAATTTTCTCAGGGTTATAAAGACAAAGTGCGAGGAAGGGTTCGAGCCAGTGTACTTGGACGAGACCTGGGTCAATGCCTCTCACACTGCCAGAAGTCAGTGGGTACCCGATGGGGGTGATAAGGGGTCACGTAGAAAGCTGCCTCTAGGGAAAGGAGAGAGACTAATCATTCTTCATGCTGGTTGCTCCAGCAAAGGCTTTCTCCCAGGCTGCTACTTGGTATTCAGGGCAAAGTCCACAGATAACAGAGACTACCATTCCGAGATGAATGGTGCGGTTTTCCTCGATTGGATTAAAACAAGTTGGTACCAGCTCTACCAGAGAAGTCTTTTATCGTAATGGACAATGCCCCATACCACAGCCGCAGGACTCCGACAGTAAAGCCCCGCACATCGAACAGTCGAAAAGGTGATATGATATCATGGCTCGACAAATTTCAGATCGCACTGTCTTCAAAGACAACGAAGCCTCAGCTATATGAGATCATAAAAACCCACAAAGGTGAACCTTTCTACAAAGTTGACAGTTACATAAAAAGTAAGGGTCACGATATTCTGCGACTTCCACCCTATCAATGTGACCTTAACCCCATTGAAATGATATGGGGTATTGTCAAAGGAGATGTTGCCAGATCAAACACAACTTTTAGATTACGTGACGTAGAGGTTTTGGTTAAAGAATCCCTTAACAAAATCACGACTGAAACTTGGCAAAACTGTGTCAACAAGGTAGCTAACGTCATTGTACAAGGTGACTGGTCTCGGGATGGCTTACAACAGGCAACTGTGGCACCACTTGTCATCCCTTTAAGTCGTGACTATGACACCACGACGGACGACGAACCGACAGGTCTCCCGGAATCGATTTTGAGATGTCCCCGGCCATGACTGGCTGTTCCGTTTCTGCGGTTTCACCCCGCCTCGACAGATAACAACTTTTGCGTTTTCAATGATGATAGTTTCTTAAACAACTTTTGTGGTGGAGTCCGGAAACTTTTCAAATATAAGAAAGCTGTTGGGTATTAGTAAATGATATACATGTGTACTATTTATATTTATATGGCAATTTTGTACAATGTAAGAATTTGCAATTCATCGGTCCGTTTTTTACTCAAACGGACTGTAGTCTGAACAGACACGGGAGTGATTGACATCATGGTCATCGATGAAAACCATTGGGACATCAGGATGCCGTCTATCAAGACACTGGACCTGACCACCCTATCAATTTAGCCGCCTCTTGCGACCATATAGGTTACTTTAGACCTATAGGAATTCCCATGGTAAACCACTTGCCTACTTGTTGAGTTTGGTAGCTTCTTAGCAGTTTGGGAAGTAAGGGTGTTATAGCTTGGTCTGCTGTTGTACATATGCTCTCAAAGGGACATTCGAAAAAATACACAGCCCCATCACATGGAATCGATCTCGAGGGGTTGAAAACGACCAGCGTCCACTGACCTGCACATACAACTCATTTTTCCCCGTGTGGCACTTCAGGAGGTAGTCGAGCGGCCACTTGATACAGTCGTACATGTAGTCCAGCTGACCGGACTTCTGGTAGGCGTCCTTCCACTGCAGCAGGCTCCAGGTCAGGATGGTGGTCGAGAAGGCCATGGGAAAGTTGAACTTGACATGATCTCCGGCTGAAAATATGGAACATTGAGAATATTGGGAATGAAATGAGTGAGTGACATTTGTAAATGACGATATGAACAGGCGAGGTTTCAAAGTGGTTTTATTGCAGGTATTGCAGGAAGGATGCACACACTAACAAATGTCGTTAGGCCTTTGTACTTTCGTGTTGATATGTACAGTACGTGGTACCCATACCCATGTTCTAGTTCTTGTGAGGTCCTGCCCATGTTTTGTCTTGTAGGCCTAAGGTGGAGAGTAGTAGTATATACAATGATAAGAAAAAGACGTATAGGTACACCTTGCTCAGAAGCTTCCATACAGGCTAGTTCTGCTACCAGCCTAGTAAAAATGAGTGTTTGCCCCAAACCCTTCGACAAGACCACTTTTTGGCTGCTCCCAATGCAGTGCACTCCCGATTAGAGCTATGTGGGTGCATGGATATAGAAACATGCCAGGAACCAAGCTCTCGCACGAAGCCTATACCGAGATCCGATCGGGTCGTTTGTCCCTTCGAAGCTTAAGAGGAAGTACCACTTATCGCAAGCCTGATACACGCGAATCCGAGGTGGTATAGACCCCGAAGCCCCAGACGACCTTAATAACTTCCGTCATGGCCAAGACTTCGAGGCCCTGGCAGAAGTATCGCCCCACGTTGCTTTCCCACCGAGAGAAACAAATCCTGAGCAATCGGGGCACACCTTCTACGAGCGCTACCAGATCCCCTTTCAAAGCTCTCGAACTCTACTTGGCTGTGCTTTCGCCCACTCAGTAGAAGCCGGCAAAATAGTCCATTTCGTCTACATCTACCCACCCAACCAATTTCGTCCCTCGGGCAAACTCCGGAATCATTCTCGCCACGACTGCTATCCGGGTCCCAAGGACAGACACAACTCGATGTACCACTGCCTTGCTTAATTTATCGAACTGCCTGCTCTCCTTCGACCCGACAACTCTATCGCAGTAAGTGTGGTGCCATCGATCACCGCGCCGACAGCAAGAAATGTGTTCTCTGAGAAAGAAAAGCGATAGATCACACACCTAGGAGCGACTCCCACTCGAGGTTCCAGAAGAGATCGTGGTCGACAGCTGCTTCGTGAATATAGAGAACCTGTACGACAATGCCTGCGCTTTCTGGAGCATACGGCGCCGCCTCACCAGCAAATTGCGGACCATTGTCCGTGGCAAGGAGAAAGAGTCTTGCATCTTCCGCAGCTATCGGGGAAAGCAGAGGTACTACAGGACGGGGCAATATTTGGTATACCCCATTGCCCAACTATGGTGGACCCAAGGATATGGAAGTAGCACCCTCCCATTGCAGCTTAACACAGAAAAGCCGCGACGTCCAAGAAGGAGTCTACTTGTGCAAAAAAGTTTGCTGTAGCGGTAGATACGAAGGGAAGAACCGGCTGTTGTTGCTACTCGATCCCCGACTGGGGAAACAATTCCAGCTCCACGGGCTACAAGATTTACAGAAACGATTCGGGCCGCCGGTGGAATAGAACGCCTACGGTTGGGAACCGTTTCTGTGCATGCTCGGCAAAATCTGCCCCTCGCCCATATCGAAAGAGAAAGATGATAGAGAAGTTGAATTGCTGCTTCCAGACCTTGGGCGAGAATAGGTTCTATGGGTCCTTCCAGACACCGCAGGGCTAGGGAGAGTAGACCCTCCGACAGCTCGCCTAGTATTTTTTGCAGATGCAGTCGCGGGCTGGGGGTTGCAAAGACTTGAATGGAGTCGCGGCACTTGTCTAGGCCCGTTATCGTATTCCAACTGCTGTTCGTGGAATTCGTGGTACGGAAAGTATACCCTACTGCAATACTTTTTTTCCCCCAAAACACTGCATTCCACTCTACTCCATATGGAAGGGATCCCCACGTTTGGTCTTGGGTGTTTCTACCATCTTGGTCGGTGTGTGGAGGGGGTGCACGAAGGGGGAAACTGGTTTGCTGTGCTTCCAGGTCTTGTAGACGACCTTCCAGAGAAAAACAGCGGCTAGCGAAAGGTAGGTCCATCTTTGGGCTGTTTCTAGCATCTGCCGCACCTTCTGGATATCCAGACGGGTCTCTTCTTGCTCCTCCTCGACGTTTTCTATTTCCTCTTCCTCGTCGTCCTTGTCCAGCATCGACAAGATGTCGACCAACAAATTCGTTGTTTGCTCCACACGAGCTGGCAACGTATTCGTTGTTTGCTCAACACGAGCCGACATCGCCACTGTTTGCTCCACACGAGCCTCTAGCCTCCCCAAGCGGTCGTAGAAGTCCTGGACGGTGGGCGCAGTCGGCTCTGCAGTAGGCAATACGCTGCTGGTAAACGGCTCGTTGGGGGGCAAGATGGCCGCAGGAAATGCTTAGCAATGCTTAGCAATGCTTAGCAAATGCTTGGCAAAACAAGCAAACTTCTAGGTTCTGTCTAGTGTGCCCCAGTTTGTCTAGTCTGCACCTAGTGTGCCCTAGTTTGCCTAGTCTGCACCTAGTGTGCCCTAGTTTCCCATATAGACAATTTTTTGTGAATGTAGATATATAGCACAACCAAATGCCTCCCAAAAGACAACTATCGCAAGACCAGGTGGAGGAGATTCACAAGATGCGTGGAAAAGTCCCAGCACAAGAAACTAGACAACGATTCGGCATCGGTTCCAATCGACTACGCAAAATATGGAATACGACCACGGAACTGTCTAGCGACACCACTGGAGAGGAAGCGTTGGCCCCCAGCACAGACGTATTGCCTGCAGCTATCTCGCCCGCTAGCGCAACGTCTACCAGCAGCGTATTGCCTGCGGCCATCTTGCCCCCCAGCGAGCCGTCTACCAGCAGCGTATTGTCTGCTGCAGAGCCGACTGCGCCCACCGTCCAGGACTACGACCGCTTGGGGAGGCTAGAGGCTCGTGTGGAGCAAACAGCAGCGATGTCGGCTCGTGTTGAGCAAACCACGAATACGTTGCCGGCTCGTGTGGAGCAAACCACGAATTTGTTGGTCGACATCTTGTCGATGCTGGACAAGGACGACGAGGAAGAGGAAATAGAAAACGTCGAGGAGGAGCAAGAAGAGACCCGTCTGGATATCCAGAAGGTGCGGCAGATGCTAGAAACAGCCCAAAGATGGACCTACCTTTCGCTAGCCGCTGTTTGTCTCTGGAAGGTCGTCTACAAGACCTGGAAGCACAGCAAACCAGTTTCCCCCTTCGTTCACCCCCTCCACACACCGACCAAGATGGTAGAAACACCAAGACCAAACGTGGGGATCCTTCCATATGGAGTGTGGAATGCAGTGTTTTTGGGAAAAAGCATTGTAGTAGGGTATACTTTCCGCACTACCTAATTCCACGAAAAGCAGTTGGAATAATTCGAAAACGGCTCAGACAAGTGCACGACTCCATCTCGTCCTTGCAACCCCAGCCCGCAACTGCATCTGCAAAAATACTAGGCGAGCTGTCGGAGGGTCTACTCTCGCTAGCCCTGTGGTGTCTGGAAGGACCCATAGAACCTATTCTCGCCCAAGGTCTGGAAGCAGCAATTCAACTTCTCTATCATCTTTCTCTTTCGATATGGGCGAGGGGCAGATTTTGCCGAGCATGCACAGAAACGGTTCCCAACCGTAGGCGTTCTATTCCACCGGCGGCCCGAATCGTTTCTCGTATCTTGTAGCCGTAGACTGGAATTGTTTCCCCAGTCGGGGGATCGAGTAGCAACAACAGCCGGTTCTTCCCTTCGTATCTCGCTACAGCAAACTTTTTGCACAAGTAGACTCCTTCTTGGACGTCCGCGGCTTTTCTGTGTTCGCTGCACGGAGGGGGTGCTACTTCCATATCCTTGGGTCCACCATAGTTGGGCAATGGGGTATGCCAAAAATATTGCCCCCGTCCCCTGTGGTACCTCTGCTTCCCCGATAGCTGCCGGAAGATGCAAGACTCTTTTCTCCTTGCACGGACAATGGTCCACCACTTGCTGGTGAGGAGCGCATACCGTATGCTCCAGAAAGCGCAGGCGTTGTCGTACAGGTTCTCTATATTCACGAAACAGCTGTCGACCACGATCTCTTCTGGAACCTCGAGTGGGAGTCGCTCCTAGGGTGTGTGTAGTCTATCGCTTTCTTTTCCCAGAGAACACATTTCTGCTTGCTGTCGACGCAGTGGTCGATGGCGCCACACTTCTGCACGAGTTGTCGGGTCCGAAGAGAGCAGGCAGTTCCGATAGAGTGGCAAGGCAGTCGGTGCATCGGTTGTGTCTGTCCTTGGGGCCCGGATAGCAGTCGTCGGCGAGAATGATTCGGAGTTTGCCCGCCGAGGGACGAAATTGGTTGGGTGGGTAGATGTAGACGAAATGGACTATTTTGCCGGCTTCTACTAGTGGGCGAAAGCACAGCAAGTAGAGTTCGAGAAACTGTTTGGCGATCTGGTAGCGCTTGTAGAAGGTGTGCCCCGATTGCTCCAGGATTTGTTTCTCTCGGTCGGAAAGCAACATGGGGCGACACTTCTGCAGCAGGGCCTCGAAGTCTTCGGCCATGATGGAAGTTGTCGTCGTCTGGGGCTCGGGGTCTATACCACCTCGGATTCGCATGTATCGGGCTTGCGATATGTGGTACTTCCTCTTCGCTTCCCGAAGGGACAAATGACCCGATCGGATCTCGGTATAGGCTTCGTGCGAGAGCTTGGTTCCTGGCATGTTTCTATATCCATGCACCCACATAGCTCTAATCGGGAGTGCACTGCATTGGGAGCAGCCAAAAAGTGGTCTTGTCGAAGGGTTTGGGGCAAACACTCATTTTTACTAGGCTGGTAGCAGAATTAGCCTGTATGGAAGCTTCTGAGCAAGGTGTACCTATACGTCTTTTTCTTATCATTGTATATACTACTCGGAGACATACCTCAAACCCATATTTCCATATAGTGGTCCACACTGTCATAACTATTCCCTAGTTTTTGTGACGTCCTGCTAATTTCTTCCCCGTCACTTAAGGTGGGGTCTTTCCCAATTTCCATCTTTGTACACAGTGGTGCTTACCGTCATACCACCCTCCAGTGAGGTCCTCCCCCTTATCCCCCTTGTCCCCCAGGGCGGAGTCTCCTCTCCAGGAGATCCTGTTGGATGGTGGGAGTTTCCCGGATCTCTGAGCCTCGTAGAACAGGATGGACAAGAACAAAACTTCATCATAGTTGTATTTGGTGCCTCCAGCTGTTAAAAGATACCATTGCATTCTCCTAGAAACACCATCCATCAGGTCAATAGTTCAAGTATCAATACATGAAAGAGGACATATATAAAGGCCGTCGAAAAAAAGTAAAGGGTAAGACAATTAAAGATGTAATAACATATCGACATAGACTTGGCAGTTATTTTGCTCCTAAGACTACGGCCATTTGTAAGGGGAGAAATAAGTGGCAAAGATTTCCTTTTGTTAAAACTATGCGTTGAAGAACAAGTTGCCCTTTGTAAGATTGGGTGTGGTGTGGTGTGGTATGTACACTGCCAGAGTAAGTGAGGGATTTACAGTTTCAGGTCTCATTCACCTCAGCATCACCTCAGTCATATAGCGACTACACAGCATTCTACATTCTCACATTTTCATGAATACATTAAACATATCATTTACTGTAAAACTTACCAACCTACTCTTGTGTTAATTGTACAAGACAGAATATGTACTGACTGTTCTTGATAGCTGGGTAGTTTCCATCGTCGTGTCCCAGGTTAGTCAGAGTGGCAGTGGCAGTAGGAGTCTTAGTGCCGGCGTGGTTAGCGAAGAACCGCAGCTGGAGGGTGCTGCCTTTGGTAAAGAAGACCTTGTCTTGTCTGTTGATCAGGGTCCACGACTTGCCATCAGCTGATTTATGCCCTATGACAGCACCTGACACCTAAGGACGTAATATACATGTATATATACGTATCTCGACGTGACGAAGTCAGTTACGGATTTTGCCTAGCCCGTAAGTATGGAAACCTATTTCGTTAAGTTAGATACGTGCACATATCTATCTAAGCAGAACCTGCGCAAAACAGTTTGAACAAAATGCCAAATCAGCAATCCTGTCTGTCTGTGGCCTGTAGAAAATTGAATATGAACCTGTCAGTCCAAATTAAAGTAACGGATTGTGCACAATCTAGTGATAACAGGTACGGGCAATCCTGTGACAGCGAGTATGGATACTCCAGCAATACGGAGTATGGACAATCATTTGAATGTAGGGTGGACGTATTTAGAAGTAAGATGCGTGAAATAGCGTTGACTCATGAGCTCAAAGGTTCGGTTACCATTCGCGCTACTCGTCTCCTTCTCTCGGAAACACGGATCTGATGATTATATGGTGAGACAATATTGCTACTTACGTCCATCTTGTCAACTGCAGTAGACCAATGAATGTCCACTTTCCATCCTTCAATTTGCTCAGTGACCGGGAACTCGAACTGGGCCTCAAACCTGTTGCCCCAGTCGTTGAAGACCTTCATGGTGTTAGTTGTGGCAACCTCTCCGCCCCCGATACCATTGTGAGCTGATGTGAATATTGGACCATGTCAGTATATGTTGATGTAAGTAATAATATAACATAATAATATGTCGAAATTAGCCGCACACAATATTTTCTTTCTGTAGGTCATTTGGTTTGCTACAAAAATATTTCAATTACAATGCGGCCGAATGAACGCCACAACTTCCCATGTACATATGTAGGGGCATGGTGTAGGACAAAATAGACACAGGGCAAGGCTCTGCTCATAGTTAGCATGGAGATGCAATGCCATACTCACACAGACAGACGCACACAGACAGACGCACACGGAGACGCACAAACACACACGCACCTAGGCCTAAACACAGTGACACACACACTAACACACACACCCTCAACCCGCTCTCTCTCTCACACCCACCCAACCCCACACCCTCACACACACACACAAACTCTCTCAAACACATACTCTCTCACCCCCTCACACACAATCCTCTCTCACACATACACCTCCCTCAAACACTTCTCCCAAACGCGCACACACACCTCAAACACATCTTCACTCTCTCTCTCACACTTCACACTCTCACACTTCACACACCTCACTCTCACACACACTCACTCTCTGTTTCTCACACACACACCTCACACACACCCTCACTCTCTCTCACACACTCACTCTCACCACCTCACTCTCTCACACTCACACACACCCTCACATTTTTCTCCACACACACACACACTCACCTCCTCACTGTCTCTGTACACTCCACTCACCCTCACTCTCTCACACACTCCACTCACACATCCTCACTGTCTCACACACTCTCACTCACACCCTCTCTCTCTCACACTCACTCACCCCTCACTCTCTCACACTCACTACATCACCTTTCACTTTCTCACACACACACTCACACTCTCACACCTCTAGACTCTCACAACTCACTCCACCCTCACTCTCTCAACACCTCTCTCACACCTTCACTGTCTCACTCACACTCCACTCTCACACACTCACACACCCTCACTCTCTCACACCACTCACCCTCACTCTCTCTCACACTACATCACCTTCACTCTCTCACACTCACCTCACACTGCACACACACCTCACTTCTCACACCCTCACCTCACTTTATCTCACACCCCACACCCTCACTTCTCACACACACTCACACAACCCTCACTCTCTCTCACACTCACACACCCTCACTCTCTTCACACACTCACACACCCCTCACTCTCTCACACTCACTCACCCTCACTTCTCCCACACACACTCACTCACCCTCACTTCTAACTCACTTCCACTTCACCCTCTCTCTCTCACACCTCACGCACTCAATCACTCACACACACCTCACTCATCCTCACTCTCTCACACTCCCACACCCTCACTCTCTAACACTAACTCACCCTCACTCTCAAACACTCACACACCCTCACTCTCTCACACACTCTCATTCCTCCTCATTCATTCACACCCTCCTCACACACACTCCACTCACCCTCACTTCTCACCTCACTTCCACCCCTCACTCCTCACACTCACACACCCTCACTCTCTAACACACTCACTCACCCTCACTCTCACACACACTTCACACCCCTCACTCTCTCACACACTCATTCACCCCTCATTCTCTCCTCACACAGCTTCACTCTCTCTCTCACACACCTTCAATCTCTCACACATTCACTCACCCTCACTCTCTCACACTCACACACCCTCACATTCTCCCTCACACACTCTCATACACCCTCACTCTGTCACACACCCACACAACCCTCACTGTCTCACACACCCTCACTCTCTCGTACACTCACATACCCTCACATTATCTATCAAACCGACTCACACCCATCCTCACTCTCACACACCTTCACCCTCTCACACACTCCCTAACGCTCTCACACACTCACACACCTCTACATTCTCACTTACACACTCAAACACCCTCACATTCTCTCCCTCACACTCACACACACCCTCACTCTCTCACACTCACACACCCTCACTCTCTCTCACGCATCCTCATATTCTCTCACACACACCTCACTCTCTCACACACACACACACACCCTCACTCTCTCACACACCCTCGGTCTCTCAGACACTCACACACGCTCACATTCTCTCTCTTACACACACACACACACACACCTCTCACACACACTCTCTATCTCACCCCTCACACCCTCTCACACACGGACTTACACACTGTCACACATGCACACACACCCTGACATTCTCTCTCACACACTCACACACCCTCTCACACACACTCTCACTACACACACCCTGACATTCTCTCACACACCCTCATATTCACACACACACACACACACACACACACTCACACTCTCTCTTTCACACATGCACTTACAAACCCTCACACATGACGACCTACAAACAGGTCCTAGCTGTCACTACTTACTGACTTTAGTTGATGTTGGAATCTTGACGGTGGGATCTGGATGGCCGGAGTTATGATTGTTACTGCCGCCAGTAGAGGTACCGCCTGTGGACCCACTAGACCCACTGCCAGTCATGCCTTCTACCGTCACGGTAATCTTGGGAGTTGTATCTCCACTGGTCGACCCCGTGAAGTCCAGACACAGCTGATCACCCACGTGCTCATCAGCGTTCCATTGTTTGTTCGATAAAATGAATTCCATTCCAGTCTTCTTTTGAACGTCAGCTGTGCCGCACTGTTGTTGACAATATATATGTGATGAGTGTAATATCAAAAGGCCCACTCGGTTTGTTCGTGGCCTATTTCAGGAAGGCGGTAGCCTGGTGATTGAAGTGTTCTCTCGTCATCCGGATTCGATTCTCCATATGGGTACAATGTGTGAAGTTTATTTTTGGTGTCCCCTGCCATGAAATTGCTTAAATACTGCTAAAGGACACACATAATTATACTATTTCACTATCGTTATATTATTTGCATTTAATAGTTCTAGAATGGATCTAGGCTGCGTTATTTGATGCCGCACATTGGGTTTCCTCGCGATAGTTCATCTTCTCCGACTCTATCATATGATAAAGTTGAAAGCGACACAGAACAGTATAAAAACCTTGTAACAAATGATCCAAACGTTACTTACATTTAGATTGGAAACTTCTTTATCAAAGTTCAGGTGCACCTTCCACGAGTGAAGCTCTTTTGTTATGGGGATGCATGTCTTGGCTTGGAAACCTCCGTTCCAGTGGTTGCCCACAGTGACTGAAATGTCTGCCCCGCAGAGGGCGACATTAGTTGCCAGCAGCAGTAATAGCATCGTGAGACTACAAAAAGAGGTTGGCCATATCATTGTATCACTTGAAGCAAAATGCTCAGTAGTATTTCGTCAATAAAGTATTAAGGTTTGAAAATTAATATATAACATCACCTGTCCCCACATGCTTCTGTTTGTAACATGACATATAATAATTTGATCAATGATCAATCAACCTCTGAACCTGTATTAAGACATTTAATGAAGTGCACATATGGTAAGGTCTATCGACAGTTTCCAAACAACGAAATTGTGACCACATGCTTCTGTTTGTTTCATATACATACTGGAATTCAGAAAATAGAAACAACAGAATCCTAAAAGATGGGGACAGTTATCGTTAGTTCATTACTTCAGAAACAATAGCATTTCTTTACCCAATTTGTTTAATTTTCCACCCTTTCATGGAGCTTCTCTTACCTTGTCCAGTCCCGTGTGTGGCACCTGGCCAGATGGTGTGGTCTACTTTATGTAACATTTACAGATAAAGAAGCTATTTGCGTTATTCCTTAATCACGGGCTACTATCATGGCATTCTTATAACAGAAGATAACCGTATTAGTAATAAACTATTTATAAAGGTACTTGGTCGACATATGCAAGGTAATACTAGTACTGTCTAGGAAAAAATGTTTCAGGTCAAAAGATTTCAAGACCATGTGTTTAGTTTGTAATATAGAATGTTATATGTCAGTGTTTTACGTATAATTGATTTGCCGACCTATCTGTTTTCTTTTAAAATATAATGTATGTATAATAACATATCATAATACAAAAACGCGGTTGTCCATTCGTCTGAAGTATCACACAATCACTGTTTTAAGGGAGTGCATGTATCTAGAAATGTAATATGCATTACAGTGAATTCATCGTATTGGGGTTTGTTTAACATTGGAAGAAAACTATGCTTATCCTCAAAATACAGTGTTTCTAAAAGACTGAGAGTTTGTTGGGCATGAGCACGCCATTTCCTGGTTTGGAAAATCGATGGCTTGGGTGACTTGCCTAAATACAGGTAATGCCCTCTGCACCTACCTGGACATCAGGGTATAGATAGAACAAACAAACACCAGGAGCACTGTGTACAAGCACACCAATGGGGCAGCTTTGTTTGTGATCAGGACTTTGAATGTTGTAACCCTGATCATGCACTATAACAAAGAGTCACTTGACAATCTTAAGAATAATCGGGTAAGGCTACTGGACCATAAGGCAAAAGTTAACGTTTTAAAGTTCAAATCACCCCTCTTGTCACATAGTCTGGTGAAGAGTTTTCACCGTTACACATCTCACAAACGAAATACTTCAAAGGCGTTTAGAAGTGAGGTGAGGTGAGGTGAAATTGGGTTTAACGTCGTGCTTGAGAATATTTCTCTCATGTGACGACGTACATGTGTATGTGCGGCTGCTTGTACTAGCCCAGACTGAAGCTGGTTTTATAGTGCTAGCCCACTGAGATACCATGCCGCAGTGAAGCATGAATACCTCACTCAGACACATTATACTGACTCCGAGCCGACCAGTCCTTGTTGTACCCATTAATGCCGAGCGCCAGGCAGGGACCAACAAGTACCATATTTTAACGTCTTTTGGTATGACGCGGTCGGGGATCGAACCCGCGACCTTCCGCTCTCCGGGCGGACGCTCTAACCACTACACCACGGAGGCGGCCCATTTAGAAGTTGTGAAGACTTCTTCAGGTGGACAATGTCATTATACACTTGAAGAAGGGACAAGAACTAGCTTAGGAATGTCGTGGTTAACAAATAAAGAAGTTGTTATGCACAAGATTTGTCTTGTACATCTACAAACATTCAGAACGACGAAAACTACACATACGCACGCGCGCACGCACGCAGAAGCTTTTCTCGCACACGAAAATAGCACGCCGTGGCATAGGTTGAGAAATAACGTCAGAAGTTACGGTACATCGAACTCACTCATTCACTATTTCATTAGGAAATTTTGAACCAGTTCATAATCTAGACGTTCCAGAAATAACATCTGGTCATGTAACAGAAATGAATTGATTCTAGAAATACCTCATATCTTGTTTTGTCTGTGTTTATTGTTAGGTGTCTGCGTCCTGAAAAAGGAAACTGATAGGCAGCTGTTGAGTTTTTGTACGACTGTTTTAGCGTTTTTTATCACTCAGTCCATAAACAGTGTCTTCGGACATGGGCTTGGTTTACTGGTACAGGGTCAGTCGTTTCCAGACTTCCTGGTATCCACAGCGAAGACACTGAATAGTATTGGGGTCACATGTCAGTAATATTCCGCCAGTTCAGTCATTAAATATTGATCTGATCCAAGCCGTGCACTCAGTGACCCGGGGATAACATATAGAATTGGGATAGGTGACCAACTGAGGACATGAAGCACTGCAATCAGTGACCCAGTGCTGACATGAAGCATTGCAGTGAGTGACCCAGGGCTGATGTGAAGCATTGCAGTGAGTGTTCCAGGGCTGATATGAAGCATTGCAATCAGTGAGCCAGGGATGATGTGAAGCATTGCAGTCAGTGAGCCAGGGATGATGTGAAGCATTGCAGTCAGTGAGCCAGGGATGACATGAAGCATTGCAGTCAGTGATCCAGGGCTGATATGAAGCATTGCAGTCAGTGATCCAGGGCTGACATGAAGCATTGCAGTCAGTGATCCTGGGCTGATATGAAGCATTGCAGTCAGTGAGCCAGGGATGATGTGAAGCATTGCAGTCAGTGATCCAGGGTTGATATGAAGCATTGCAGTGAGTGACCCAGGGCTGATATGAAGCATTGCAGTCAGTGATCCAGGGCTGATATGAAGCATTGCAGTCAGTGAGCCAGGGATGATGTGAAGCATTGCAGTCAGTGATCCAGGGTTGATATGAAGCATTGCAGTCAGTGAGCCAGGGCTGATATGAAGCATTGCAGTCAGTGAGCCAGGGCTGATATGAAGCATTGCAGTAAGTGAGCCAGGGCTGATATGAAGCATTGCAGTCAGTGATCCAGGGCTGATATGAAGCATTGCAGTCAGTGAGCCAGGGATGATGTGAAGCATTGCAGTCAGTGATCCAGGGTTGATATGAAGCATTGCAGTCAGTGAGCCAGGGCTGATATGAAGCATTGCAGTCAGTGATCCAGGGCTGATATGAAGCATTGCAGTCAGTGATCCAGGGCTGATATGAAGCATTGCAGTCAGTGATCCAGGGCTGATATGAAGCATTGCAGTCAGTGATCCAGGGCTGATATGAAGCATTGCAGTCAGTGATCCAGGGCTGATATGAAGCATTGCAGTCAGTGATCCAGGGCTGATATGAAGCATTGCAGTCAGTGATCCAGGGCTGATATGAAGCATTGCAGTCAGTGAGCCAGGGATGATGTGAAGCATTGCAGTCAGTGATCCAGGGTTGATATGAAGCATTGCAGTGAGTGACCCAGGGCTGATATGAAGCATTGCAGTCAGTGATCCAGGGCTGATATGAAGCATTGCAGTCAGTGAGCCAGGGATGATGTGAAGCATTGCAGTCAGTGATCCAGGGTTGATATGAAGCATTGCAGTCAGTGAGCCAGGGCTGATATGAAGCATTGCAGTCAGTGAGCCAGGGCTGATATGAAGCATTGCAGTCAGTGAGCCAGGGCTGATATGAAGCATTGCAGTCAGTGATCCAGGGCTGATATGAAGCATTGCAGTCAGTGATCCAGGGCTGATATGAAGCATTGCAGTCAGTGATCCAGGGCTGATATGAAGCATTGCAGTCAGTGATCCAGGAATGACATGGTGCATTGTGTCTTAACCACAATCACTGGTACTATGACAGTTCAGTAACCCGTACCATGATCTTTGCACGAGGTTGTCACACCTCCTTTCTCATTCACTCACTTATATTTTCAAAACCGAAATGTAAATGTCGGGTGCTAGCCTTATGCCGGCCTGCCGCTTGCACGTTTGTTCCCGCATTGCCGCGCAAGGCGTGCCATTTCGATTGCACGTAGCGGAGCATGACGACGTGTTTGCGCCGTGTACACGCATAAGTTACGCACTGTCTACGCAATGCGCGGCCCAAATATGGTCCGCACTGGCACGCATTCACATGCAATGGCACGACTTGCCTACGCATAGGTCAAGTTTTGTTCGCGCATTGTTCACGTCTGCCGTATCGAATAGTCTCTCAATGTCACGCACAGTTCCCACTGTCTTTCCGTATCGCCACCCATTACCCCGACGACCTCGCGCATGCGGTATTTTTTGGTCCCGCTCTGTCCCGCTTGGCGGCACGCTATGTATATTAGCGTGTGTTCACACCGAGCTTCATTCCTCGACTCGCTGTGGGCGATACAGCATGCTGAATGCCAGGTACATTGTTATTGCAGAACACAGAAGGTGTCTATATCTGGCAGCTGCAGGACTAGTACTTCTTGAAGAGCAGGAGAAAAGGCAGTAAGAGCACGAAAAAGAGCATGAGAAAGAGGAGACAACTAGAACAAGGAAAGCAAGGCCAGTTTGGGTTAGAGAATGGTTGTCTAGAAGACATGAATTCGGACATTGTGTTCAGCCACTGACAGAGCTCCACAAGGAAGATCAGGCTATGTACAGGAATTACCTGAGAATTTCACCTGAGCTAGTCTAAGAGATGGCGACGAAGTTAACGCCTCACTTTAAGAAACAGACCACATTCATGAGAGAACCGCTTGAAGTTGGACTCAAGCTGGCTGCCACCCTCCGCTTCCCAGCCACTGGAAATTCCTATCCAAGTCTACAGTACAGCTTCAGAGTAAAATCAAGTACAATCTGCAAGTTCTTACTAGAGATGTGCAAAGCCATTATTGAGGCCTTCAAGGACGAAGTGCTCAGCTGCCTCAAAACTGAAGAGGAGTGGCAGGAGGTTCCTGTTGTTCTCCAGCCTTCGTCCATAACTGGGATTTGGCAGCCAGATTGAGCTAGTCCTTCTGTCTCTTGTCATATATAACTCTCTGTAGTCTTTTACATATTCTACTATTTTTTCGTTTTGGTACCATCATCTGTAAACTCATATTCAGGAATTTTTTCTTGGACACTCTGAATATCGTCTCCTGTTTTACTGCGGGCTTTTCTTCACTTGACAGTTCAACTTCAAGTTGTGTCTCTGGAACAACATCAACACTTGAGGAGGAGGAGCAAGGAGAACGATCCCTCTCCCTGTTTGCAACCTCTGTCCCTTTCTCTATCTATGTCACTGGCCCGTCTTCTTCCTGTGTTTTCCGCACTGGTCTTCCCTTTCCTCTACTGGTTTTCTTCTTGGGAGGATGATGGATGTCCGCTGGCAAGTTGTCGTATTGTCTGTTTGTTGGTGTTCCACAACAGTGATATCACATGCTTCAGGAACGATCCTTCCTGTTGACGACCTGGACACGGGGGTTTCCTTACGCCAGCTGGCCACGGGCTCGCTGACGCGAGAGTTGTCGTCGCTAATTGGTCGTAAACGATACGCGGACAATGCATGAACACTTCGTGGACAATTCATGCCCTACGCGAATGGTTCGTGACGTGCGCGAACATGCGTGAGCTTGGCGTGCCATGACGACCGCACGGCCACTCGCGACACACCCGAATGCGTGAACAATGTGTAACATGGCGTGTTAGCGCATGAAGTGGATTCCCATGACATGCATTGACACGCATCGTCGGCAGAGTTCGCGCAGTATTCACGCATGGTTTACGCAAGTGGCACTTACATTAAAGCGTGCCGAATATTTGAAAATTCTCTCTACGACATGACACGCACCCCCACACTTCTCACATAAACCTCACGCTCGTTCCCGAAGACTTTAATTATTGGCACGCCGAAGTGCGCGCCATTCCGGGATCGAAGATCGTGCAAGTGTCAGGGTGGCATTAGCGCAGATCATGCTTACCAATTTAGCGAAATCTACAATCACTGATGTTCCGTGATCCGTCACTACTGTGTTGTTCACGTTTAGCTGCATCTGTTTTACATACATTCGGGTCTATTTTTCTGTAATGTTGACCTTTAAAGAACCACTAAACTTTGTTTTTTGTTACTCTTTTAACCATTACATATGAAAGATTTGTGGTTAGTCTTATGCGGAACACCAAATTTATTCTTTAAAAACTTGTGGTTAATTAATACCGAGCGATTAAAAGTGGCCAAAAAGTCGCCTGCTTCCCTCTCGCCCGCCAACGAAACCACAGACAGGTTACGTAACTCTGTCGCCAGAGCACTGCAGTGACGTCATATGAGGAACGATTTTCAGTTAGTTGTATAGAAAATGTGCAGCACGCTCATCATTTTGATGATTTCTCGACATCAACGACGACATGCCGAATCGTTGCTTTGTCGTCAATTGCTCCTAGGGGTCGGGCGATGGTGTCCCCATGCACAGATTTCCACAGGACCCCGCAGTTCGTGCAAAATGGGTTATGTTTGTGAGTGCGAAGCGAGCGTTGTGGAAGCCTGAAACGATATCTTGTGTTCAGATCGCTTCACGGAAGTTAAAGAATCAAAACTACTTACTAGTTGTAGTAAAATATGCATATGATTGATGACCATAAAGATTTTCTATGACACAACTTGTAACATAAGGATTTCTTCCTCGGAAGTGAGGTTGTGGTCGAAGTAACAATAATATTGTAAGTAGTATTATATTGACACCCACCTCGCTGCCACGAGAGAAATTGTTATGATATACGCTATGTCATGCAAAATCCTATTGGCCATCAATAAAATACATATTTTACTACCAGTAGAAAGTAGTTTTGATTTTGTAACTCGGTGAAAACAAACCTAAATACCATTTATCCTCAGACTGGCGGATGTTCCCGATAGGGCGCTGCCATTTTTAAAAATAAAAAAATCTGTTAGAATTAATGAGATTATAGTTTGTTTTCATCAAGTTAAAAAATCAAGACTACTTTCTACTCGTAGTTAAATATGTATTGGAATCATAACCAAACGGATTTTGCATGACACAACTTATAACATAACGATTTCATCCACGGAAGCGAGGTGGGGGTCGAAGTCACAATACTGCGCGATCAATTTCTTGCTACATTCCCATGGTTAATGTCCACTCACCAGTATGTAGATACTAGTCAATGTGCGTCTTTATATTTGGTCTTATAATCCTAATTAGTTTATTATCATACTTGTATGCATTTTGAAACTGATGCTTATAGTGAATTTATAACAGACCTGTAATATCTAGACATTTTATAGTTTGCCAATGTGAATCATAATTCGCACACACACCCTAGTGCATGTTGTCTGTCTCATTACACTTCACGGCGAAAACAATGATTCTGTTGAATGCTACGACAAATGAATAAAAACAAAATGCAAATATTAAAATTAAAACAGATTAAAGTTATAGGAACAATATCAGGCCATTACCTTGTTCGAGGAATGTATCCATCAATATTCACAAAACTGTTCCAAATGATGTGTCTTTTAACAGTTTAATATACGAAAAAGTGATAAATCTTTTCAGGTATTGGTGTATAGTCTCATTGGTCACCCAAGATAGCACACCTGGCAACTAATTGCATAATGTCCGCCTTTCTTTAAAAACAGTAATTGAGTTAGCTAATAATTGGCAATCAATCAATGTATTGCCGGTTAATCCTTTGAAAGAAGGACGTTGTTTTTACGCAGACACCGACACGACAGAGTGTATTCAGTATAGATTAGTAAATCTACATACATAAACACTACCTTTTGACAATTCCGCTGTGTAAGATAAAAGTAATTAATCAATCAGCGTGTTATCGGTTAATCCTTTGATCGATGTTTATAATGTTGAATATTTACTCCAGACACAAGAAATGAAAAATGGGAACCTTTGTCGGGTAATATAAGTGTGTTACCACTAATTATACCTGTTATAAATTCATTAACTGACCATCAAGTGAATGATGACAAATAACATGTGTAGGTTTATACCACCTAACACGGGTTACAACAAGGGAGTATTAATTGCTGTATTGCATGGGAAAACTTATGGGCCGACACTGTTTTGAGAATACAAACAGAATTTTACATGACATGATTAAATATCGAGGTAAAAAAACACAGAAATGGGATCAATTTGGATCAGTCATTATACAAATAGGGCCTAACGACACCAATCGATTTTGACAGAATCGTCTATGAAAACAAGTTGTAACTCGGAAACTAGGCAAAGCAGGAGACAAAATTAAATGACAGTAGATTGTGAGAACATATAGCTTTCATTTTCCACAACAATTGTCACGATTTCAGGTTTATACAAGCCTGTAAACAAGATAATTTAACCCCTAAAATGTAGATGAATTCTGCATCGGCCCTCAAAGCTATTCCTCATAACACGTCACAGAGGCGCGCCGCTCTGATTGGTTGAAATTTCGTTCGCGGGTGAGAATTGTGCACTGTTGTCAAAAAGGTCGATTTAATTCAATTAAAGATCGAAATGAGTAGTTTTAATGACGGGGTTTCATTTATAACGATGTCAGTTATTGATTTATGTATTTGTACCCCCTAGGGTTTATGTGACCTTTAAAAGTTTTCGTGGGTGTCGATAACAAGTGTATGCTGCTTTTGGACACTGGTGTGTACATTCCAGTAGTGATTTAAGATATAGTCGCCAAGGTTACCAGTACGCTGTTAAGGTCACCTGTCCTCTTATGTACTCCACGTGTAATGTGGCTGCCGTTAGATGTATGACCCTGACCTTGGAACAATTTGTTGAATATTTAAATACTTGGAGTAAAGAAATATTTTTATAGGCAAGCCTTCGTAGGTCAAAAGAGCATGTTTATCACATGCGTCAAGAGCATGAATCGCCTCATTTCAAACACACGCGAGTTGAATATAGGGAACGAAAGTCTGGGATATGTTGAGATTCAATGTAAGACACAATCATATTTACATTTGTCAAATGGACATTAAGATACAATTTACAAAGCCCCTTATGACGTAACTCAAAATGAGATCTTGCTTACATGCTACAGTACACTCGCCGCCTTTGATCTTTTTCATCTTAGAACAATAGAGAAACCCAATAACCGTACTATTCCTTTACGAATTCATTTCGAATGTAGAACAGATTTACAAACTAAATGATAATATTAAGTATGAACCTGGAGACAATATGGAGAAGACTGCTTTAGCTGCAGCAATTTGGGCACATTGTCAATCTCCTGTACAAGTGGGAGGCGGTGGGCTAGCCTAGTGGTTAAAGCGTTCGCTCGTCACGCCGATGAATTGGCATCGATTCTGCATATGGATACAATGTGTGAAGTCCATTTCTAGTGTTCTCTGCCGTGATATTGCTGGAATATTGCTAAAACGGCGTCAAACTAAACTCCCTCACTCAGTTGTTCACGTGGCATTGCGTTGTGACGTCAGTGTTGTTGTGACGTAATGACGCCACGCACTGTAACGAACTATCCGCTGCGTATTGTTTAAAGAGAGTAGCTGAAGCCATCGGTCGATGTACCCTGAATGTTTGTTTATATTCCCTGAGCCCATGTTCCCCTCGAGAGCAGTGAACAACTTATAACGCCGCAAGTATTTAATTACGTTGAATCACGGCCAGGTGTAACGGAAAAACACAACTGTATGCATTCAGTTCAGTTTATTACGAATATTCAATTTAGGGCTTCGTCAGCTGTTCTGGATGAACCTTTCTTGTGACCAGGGACCTCAGCCCTACAACAAAAATAGTAAAAACGTTTTAACATTTTTCTACTAAATTTTCACAGTTTCTCCTCATATTCCAATCAGGAGAGGTGCGTCTGTTCAATCTGTCAACATCATATTACTTGGTGGTCTTGTTCCACTCCGCCGTAACAAGATTTCAAAACCAGAAGTAGTTTGGTTATGTAGAGGTAAACATTTAAATTCGATTATAAAATGAATTGTGATCAAATTGTTTGTACTCAAACATCAAATATAACACAACATAATTTTCACATGGTAATCCAACATAATGCTAAGTAACAGGGTATGCATTGCTACTAGAACACCACGCACCTGCCACAGCGGCTTGGAAGCCGGCGTTGTAGTCACAGGCCACCTCGTTATTGACGTAGTTGGATCGGTCGTCCTTGTAGCCGTCACTGTCATCTGGCCCTCCGACCAGGGCACCGTACAGAGTGTGGACATTAGGGGCGTGGCTGGACATCACCTGGGGTCCACAAGGAGCCGGTGGCCAGGGACAGGAGCTGAAGGGGGAATGCATAGTCTTAGTGCCAATTATACACAATGAGCCAGTATCTAGGGGCTACACAGTAGCTGACATTATAGCTGTGCGTATCACGCTCAGTTCCCTTTCATGGAAATCCATGCTTGTCGTAAGAGGCGACTAACGGGATCGGGTGGTCAGGCTCGCTGACATTGTGGTCACATCCCAATTACGTAGATCGATGCTCATTCTGTTGATCACTGGATTGTCTGGTCCAAACTCGATTATTTACAGACCGCCGCCATATAGCTGGATTGTTGCTGGGTGCGGCGTTAAGCACTAACCAACAAACCAACTAACCAAACAACCAGTCAAACAACCAGCCAACTCTATAATGGAAGATTCAGTGTTGAACTACGTGTGAAACAGAATAAGGGCAGTATAAAGCATGAAGCGATGGTTTAAATAAATACATGGTACTCAAGTGGAGTCAGGGAGCCGCTGATTCTGTGTCAGTATTGTTTATCAGTCATGGCACTGTCATGGGAAAACAGGATAACAAAGAATATGGAGTTCTTTAACTCTTTTGAGCAGTATATGTTGTAAAACATGACTCACGATAAAGCAAATCCTGCTCAGTGACAATGCGGTTTTCACCTGACCTATCTGATAACGTCACAAATATGCAGGCATGGTCCCAGAATACCAAGTGCCCGCCAGACAAAAGTTGTCTGGAAACGCGCCTGTTCATCTTAACCATTTAAAGTAGATTTCATGTTAAAGACGTAAGTCAGTACTTTATTTCTCTGATCTAATGGTGACTGCAAACTAAAACTGAAATGCCAGGTGACAACATCAGACATGGTCTGAGATTAAAGCGTTGTCTCTCAAAATATATTACCTTTACAGAAACACAAAACTATAGAATAAATCGGAAATGAATGCCAGTGCGCTGGTGGTCCTCGACGTGCTGAAAAGCCACACTTTCTTCATTTAGGTCTTTTATAGTACTGACTGGGTGGAAGGACAAGTACAATGAATTGGGCGCTTTGAGACATCGCTTTGTGTTGAATTCCCTGTGTTGGAACATGATTCGTATGGCTAACTCTCTATTTGGAGATGTGACCACTTGCGCCAGAAGGACATATCTTAATGTTAAACGTGATTACACGAACAGTTGAGAGATCTGACAACCTGTAACTGATCCTCTGGTTACTGGACACAACTTCTTGATGAAAGGAAACGCCCACACAGAATATGTGCATGTCGACCTACTCAAGCAGCAAATGATTTTTACCCTGGCCACACAATGTCTTTCGTGTCCTAATGCAACACGTGTGTGATGTTTGAGGCCTGTCTGTGCCAGACATCCGGTTGTGGAGACACCATGCAGTGTTACAAGAGAGATGTCCACGTGTTCTAATAGCCACAACCCGTACAGATCCTGGCTTGCTGCTGGTGTCATACAGTATACTGATGATATTAACCACGTATTTCATTCCTGGTTTATAAGAAATTGGGTGTTCCTTTACTTTTTTGTTTGGCCACATAATATCTTCCTATTCTGCTGGGGATCCACATATCTGACGTTTACTTATATCGGGAAGTGTATCAGTACGTTTTAAGAAATATACATCTATGTATGATCAGAATACTGTCTGGGGTTCTGCCCACCTTGATCTGTGATGGGGACTGTGTGGGTAGTTCTTGCCGAACCCAATGAGATAGCTGAATCCAGTGTCTCCCAGAGCATAGTGGATCTGACTCATGGCCCACTCTCGGTACTTGTCAGGGTTCACTCCTGCCTCTGCAGCCATCAGAGCTGCTAACGCCATGTTGGCTGAAAGTAGACCCAATCATAGGAACAACTGCTTGAAACGGCGTTCTACGGCTTTTGTGTAGTAAGGCAACGGTTCCGAAAAGAATGATGAGTCGTAAGTTCAAAGAAGCGGTAAATACAACCGAAACAATAAAAAAACCTCAGTTCTTACGGGTGATATAGATACACAGCCTGAACAGGAGAAACAGCACATTAGAGTATAAGACCAGCAGGCACATCTGAGACTTTCGACCAACGGCCGTATCTGAGACAATACACGTATATACATTCTGAGACATTACATCTACATGCACATCTCGGACATTACACAATCATGCATATCTGGGACATTATACCTACATGCATATCTGAGAGATCCCCACTGCAGCCTCCATGCCAGCCCTTGAGGTGTGTACTTAATGACCTGATTAGGGAACCAGTACTTCTCGAACGTGTCCTCCAGGTCCTGTTTGTAGATGTCTTTACGGGTCAGCTTGTAGAACAGAACCTACAGAATGCATTAGTGTTGAAATAGTGTGTAAAGTAACAGACAAACAGAACATTGTACAAGATTCGGCAATATAATAGTGAATAATCTCAACGAATAACAGATAAACCAAAGCTAACGTCACAATTGTAAGACACAGTTCATCTCTCTGCAACTGAAGATGGTTACTAGTATTTTACAACCCTAAGACATTGTTAAACGTACATTGTTGGCCGTCAGGTTTAACGTACATTGTTGGCCGTCAGGTTTAACGTACATTGTTGGCCGTCAGGTTTAACGTACATTGTTGGCCGTCAGGTGTAACGTACATTGTTGGCCGCCTGGTTGTCGTCCCAACTCATGCCCCACGCCTCGCCAGGCTGGTGATATTTCTCGGCCTCAGTCAGATATTTAGGGTCTCCAGTCGCCTGATACAGCCATAGTCCGGCCCAGGCATGCTCGTCAGTGTTGTTCGTGGACCTGTGTGCAGGTACATGTTTGTTTATTCTCATTAAATGGTACACAGATACACTGTATCGATAGCCATTACATCATCATTAGTATAACCCAACTTCGATAAGGAATATATGACATACGGATAAAACTGGGCGGCTGCTGGAACACTCTGGCTGTATCGACCCTTGTTGGCCATGGCGAAGTCATACAGCTGTACAGCGTGGTCCAACAGTGTCGTGGAGTAGTTTGCGTCTGTGCAGAAACAAAACAAATGTCCAAGAAACTGTTCTTATTTTGGAGTATAATAAAAAAACAAAAACAATCCACACAATTATTTGAAAACTATAAGACATACGTTCTCTTTTATTGCAAAGTTGATGAATGGAGATATGACAACCTTTGTCCTTAAATGCCATTGATCCTGCGGCAAAGGCAGCTGCTGTTTGTCCAGCTACGTCACTTCCGGGTTTTGAAGGAGTGATCTTAAACGCGGGTCTGGCCATTTTCATGTCTTCCGGTCGGCCCCAGAAACTGTGGTCTGCCCCTCCGTTTCCAACCTAAAATAAACAACACACACTTGTCAAGGTAATGTAGCGAAGGACAAACCAACGATACACAACATCCGCCAAAATAATGGAGAACATATGAATTCTTTCATCATACTGCGATGAAGTATAAGTAACCTCCCTTTTCATGCAATAACGGTATGATATTAGTTTCACTGGCTTAAAGTATGTCTCTGCATTATGTATCTAGAGTAAGCATGGGACTCAACTATACTATCGTTCCTGGTTTAGTAACACTTCAGGAGGTAATCGGGTGGCACCTACGAGACTCACCTGTACATAGGTTTTTGGGGGGATTCACCTGTACATAGAGTTCTAGGAGACCCCCCAGTACATAAAGTTCCGATGGACTCACCTGTACATCATCCTCGATATCTCCAGGGTATACGTTACGATCACTCTGCACTATACCCTGGATGCATCCACGCCTTGGCCCGATAATTATATTACCTCCCTTTGCTGGCTCCGCATTCTCACAGTAGCCAATCAGCTAAGCCGCCGTTACACCCGAGCTTGCCAGTGTCAACAGCTTGACAGCGGTCGCAGTCGCGAAGGTTTGTTTGCAGTACCACTCAGATTTGAGAAATAATATAAACAAGTTGACTGATCTGAAACTTTAAAAATTATGTACAAGAACTCCTTCCACATCTTCAGAGTACCCTCTGCATCAATTGTGTTGCCAAGTTTAAACGGTTAGATAATTTAAGAAGTGAAAGTGAGTTGTGACTGGTTCGCTCAACTTCCCAGCGTAGACACCTGATTGGATAAAAGCCAGCCAAGGGAGGTAATAAAATCAACATAAAAAGCCGTGGATGAATCCAGGGTATAGTGCAGAGTGATCGTAACGTATACCCTTGAGATATCGAGGAGGCCTGTATATATGAAATACACAAAGTTCGAAGGGGCTCACCTGTACATAGAGTTCGTCCTTCGCTGTGTGACACTTGAGGAGGTAGTCGAGCGGCCACTTGATGCTGTCCAGCATGTTGTCGTACTGGCCGGACTCCACATACGCCTCCTTCCACTGCAGCAGACTCCAGGTGAGGATGGTGGTGGACCACGACATGGGGAAGTTGAACTTGACGTGGTCACCAGCTAGGAAGACATGGACAGATTCACCAACCGTAGACTTTTACTGCTAAACAAGTTCCTGAAGTTGGATCAGGCAAACTTCGTTCTTTCTCCGTTTTGTCTCATATGATACACAGTCAGGATACACCTCGGGGTTTGCTTTTTGTTTAACGTCACATCTTCAGCTATATGACCACTGTTTGTAGATAATCGAGTGTAGACTAGACAATCCAGTGATTGGCATCATGAGCATTGATCCGCGCAATTGGGATACGATGACATGCATCGACCAAATCATCATCCGTGTCTAAGTGATCACGTTATTCGCCCCTAAACCACAAGCATGGGTTGCTAAAGATCAATCCCAATCTTCACGGGTCACACGGCGATTTAATACCTTGGGTATTCCTTATTGTAGGGCCGATGAGACAAAATTGCTTAATGCTCTTTTCTAGTTTCATAACTCAGCATTTGAAAGGCACCATTGTATTCAATATTATCAAATGTGCCAACATTCAAAACGTCATCCTTTCCCTTGAAATTTGTGGTTAAACCCGGTGTAAGGTCGTGATAGGTTTACGAAATATCTACTTCCATTGACACAGATTTATGATACACCTGCCGGTTCTGCATTATTCTTACTGTTTTCATTATGTATACGAAACGTTGAAAGAAAACGTCTGTGTGGCCAGACGGACCAACAAGTAGACAAACGTCACTGCCTACCAAAGATGGAGACATTTTTAGTTTGATGTCGCCAAAACATTGTGAAACTGCACTTACCGTCATACCATCCTCCAGTGAGGTCCTCCCCATTATCGCCCTTGTCTCCGAGGGCGGAATCTGCTCTCCAGGGGATGGGGTTGTTGGCCGGAAGTTTGCCTGACCTCTGAGCGTCATAGAACAGAATGGACTTGTAGAGGACCTCATCGTAGTTGTACTTGGTGCCTCCGGCTGTTAAGTGTATGGCAAACACTGATTTCATGTGTGTTCTGTTGACTTACATAATCAAACTACAACATGATCATTTTCCTACTTTCAAGTGGTTTGCAAACTCTGTGCAAGCTGTTTATTGAGTCAGTGGACTTAAGAGGGAAATGAAATCAGAATACTGAAGCAATGAATTTCTCGACATTGGACGTTTCAGCTGCAACAGGAGAGTAGCCGTGAGTGCTAACCAAAACAAGGCTTTTATTCTGATGCTCCCTCCCTCCTCCTCCTACTTACTGTTCTTCACGTTTGGAAATCCATTGTCGTCGTGACCGAGGTTGGTGAGTGTTGCGACAGCAGTTGGAGCGGACGACGCCTGTGTGTTGCCAAAGAAGCGGAGTTTCACAGTTTCCCCCTTTGAGTAGAATACCCTGTCTTGCTTATTGATGACCACCCAGTTTTTGCCATCCGCAGACTTTTTGTACACATCGGCTACCCACAGCTGTAACATGACATTAATCAATTTGACATATAGTCACATGAAGACAAGGAACCTTTATAGCAATAATATACAATGTACTTAAGTACACTCGTACATTCAGGAAAATCAACTTGGAAAAACTCAGCTTATCTGGATATAAAATATGTTTCGATCAAATGGTTTGCCAAAAGCAACCAAAGGATACAACGGACATAACAAAGAATGGCCATTCATGTTAGTGTAGGCAACTTGTTTGTGGTCCCAACAGATGATGATTAAGGGGCAAGACGTAGATTGGTAACGTTCCATCATACGCAATACAGAAACTAAACTCCATGGCATCTCTACGTAAAGTCGTTTAATCAATCTGTCTATTGATAACATAAATATTTGTGTTTTTTAAAAGAAAACTTTCGATTGACTGACGTATAATCAGAAATTCAGCAGGAAACTGAAGACTGACAATAATCAACAATACGCCATGTTCCCATGGATATCCTCAAAACGATGAACGTGGGGTATAACTTACGTCCAGTTTATCAACCGGCTCTGAGAAGTTAATGGCCACCTCCCAACCTTCTATGTTTTCAGTAGCAGTGAAGGAAAACTCGGCTTCAAACCTGTTCCCCCAGTCATTGTAGATCTGCATGTTGTTTGTAGTGATCTCTTCCCCACCACCAATACCTGTACCTGAAACACACAACAGAGTGGTGGAAAACCTCAATTATGTACATGATGCTGTTCAGGGTAACGTGCCGCTAATGTATTGTGGAGTACAGTACATCTAGGCATTGCTGTGACTCGTGCAACCCAAATACGGAAGAGGCTTTAGTTCCGACAAGAATTTAGAACTTAACTCTTGCCTGTGTCAGCGATGATCAATTCCAAGTGGAATTAGTTCCACATCGAATATGTCTATTGCCAGTGTAAATGTATCGTGGAAATCTGTGGCCTGGCAATACTCATTATCCAGGAGAACATAATGAAACAGGAGAAATTGCACTTCAGGAGCAGATAGTCTCTGACACTTAGAGATATCTAGAGAACTGTATGTACTGGCTATATGATAGTAACGTATCCAAACGTGCCTTTTACAGGAAGGTAATCTTAGGTTTGTCACGGATATCTGATGTCATCACTTACTTTCAGTAATCCATGAATATATTATGTAATTTGTCTTCTTGCGCCTATGGAATCTGCTTCAGCAGAAGTTCAAGAGTGAACGTCATTGGCATTGACGTTTTGAACAGTAACTGAAACTAGTATTTAATTTGTGGTTGCTTATAGGTATGTAGAGTGCACATACTACTTACTGACATTCGTAGATATTGGGACAGTCACTGTGACACCCGGTGTTGCAGCAGTCTGCTGGTTGTTGTTGTTATTGTTGTTGTTAGAAGGGTTTCCTATGGTCCCTGTGCTGTTCATCCCTTCTACAGACATCGTCACTTTAGGCTGAATGTCCCCAGTAGTTTTGGCCACTAAGTCCAAACAAAGTTTATCTCCTACATGTTCATTGGCATTCCATTGTTTGTTGGAGAGGACAAACTCCATCCCCCCGTCCATCATATGGACATCTGCAGTACCCGTCTGAGGACAGTAAATTATTATAGTTGATATGTATATGTTCACATGTTCCTGCGATAATCTGTGTTTTGGCCTAACATCGTTTTGTGCAAAACATGTATTTCAGCTATGTCACGATATGTCAGCTTTGGATGGCAGGCATCAAGCTGGTGATTAAATCGTAAACAGGTGTTCCCTTTCGCACATCGTGATGACAACAGGTGTACTCGAGCTCACAGTCACTGACATGGTCTGACGAACAAAGGATTCTGACCAGTCCGATATCTTCATGAACACGGTATGTGTCAAAGACAGACTCAGAGGAAGCAAGTACCGGTACATTCCTAGGTGAAAATCCTGGTCTGAAAGGAACATTTTCCTTCCGAAATGCCACTTTAACATCTCTGCGTGGTGACTTTAGGCTAACTATTAAAATTTTATACATATAGGAGAAAAAATCGTATTGGAGCATTATTAGTTTGTGTGTTCGTGCGTGCGTGCGTTCGTGTAAAAAAATGGATTTGCTAAAACATTATTAGAGTACATTTTGAACTCAAACCCAAACAGATCGAGGTAAGAAAAGCTTTGACGAGTGGTCGGAGCTTACAGTGATTCGAGTCAACTCAGAGGTCTGTTTGCAGCGGAAATAGCTGATTGTGCTCAGAGTGCGAGATTCAGATAACTATTTGTGTGTCTCAAACTAATTTCGTGTAATAATCTACTCGTAATATTTCAGTTTATCCAAGAGGAGTTTTATCAGTTAAAGAGATACGTATTTCACTGAGAGGTTGCCACAGCTACCTGAACAAAAACCTGTACTTTTTTTCGACATCTTAGCTTTTACTGTCTTTTTCAAGCATCGCTGGGATTTTTATCATTTTGTAATCTTTCTGTAACGCGCAACTGAGCTGGCAATAACCTGGATATTAGGCGCGATACAATCAATTGTCATTCATTCATTCATCTTTGATGAACAAACCTCAAGGCCTTCGACAGCCTGGTCAAACTTGACGTGGACTTTCCACGTGTGCAGCTCTGTAGTGATAGGTATGCAGGCTCGAACCTGGAACCCCCCGGGCCAGTGGTTGCCGATGTTTACGTTAAGATCACTCACTGAAAGGGCGACAAATGTCGCCAGCAGCACCAAGACAAACATGTTAACTGCAACAAATGGAATACGGTGGATGATGCTCAAAATGTTTATTGTTTATCCACAATATCCTGTTACTGGCGAAAGGTTTTACACGTATCACTACAGGTACATGTAATAGTACTGAGAATGAATGAACGAACGAACGAACGAACGAACGTCATACATGTTATGCAGGACACAGAGTCAGCCGTCTAACCCTCTCAGCCAACGTGGAAGCTGGCTTCGTATGCTGGCGATTAGGTGCCTGACCCTGAGCATATAGCATATGTTACAGGTAAAGTGTTTGACAATCCACAAGGTATTACTTACACTTGTCTAGAATACTTTAAGGGAATATAACTCCCTTTTCTCATATTATGAAGCATATATATTTGAGACAATGATTTCATGGTGCCTGTGTTGAAGCCCGCAATGATACATGACAGTGCCACCAGAGTCCAGATCCACTGCATGACCTGCCACCCACTACAATAACACATCACACTTAATGTCAAGTCAATGTGAATCTATTGAAATGTAAATAAAAATCCATACATATACCTGTGAATGCCGTCGGTCATGTCATATGCTACACACGTTTGCGATTTTTATTTATCAATCTAATTAAAGGTGTCACCTCTGATAAGACGGACACACTTCTTGTTCAAGAAAGACACATGCTATATATGGTATGACACCTTGACCTGATTTAGTTTCAGGGGCATCACGTATATATTGTATGCACCGCGTATATATTATATCTATCAAACATAAGTAAAATGTAATGCAAGCACTAGCATATGGCAATGACAAGATTCAAAATAGAAAATCTTAAAAATCCCCACTCTAAATACGCTTTATTTAATTTCTTTTCCTGATGTGAACCACAGTATGGTTCACTCTTATCTGCTGATAGGAGAACATGACTTGTTCTGTGTTTTACCTTGATAAAAGACAAGTTTCAAATCTTGAAGACGTCTTTGGTAAATTCAAGTAAAGCAAATGAATCTCAAGACAATTTTGATATTTTGACACATGTTCGCTGTGCTTGCTGTTTTGTACTGTTGAGGCATTTGGTGATCATAACAAGAAACATCTAAAGAGGCGTGTATATGTTTGATATTTCTTTCGGGAACCTATGTGTATTTAGAATTACAGATTTCTAATCTAGGGGTAGCCTAGTGGTTAAAACATTTTCTCGTCACGTGGAAAACCCGCGCCCCTTTCCCCACATGGTGTGAAGCCCATCCTCTTGGAGTTCCCTGGAGTTCTATTGCTTGACTATGGCTGAAAGCGTCGTAAAAACATACTCACTCACTCCCTGTGAAAGAATATGAAGCAACGTGTGCATCGTTTAGCTTGTAAGTACACTTCACTATTATGACGTCGTGATGTTGTGAATAATGACAGAATTGGGAACCTAGTCAAGGAACAATGGTCAAATCAAATCCTAATTGGAAGATATTGCCAAACTTAATGTAATACTAAAATGTAATTACCTTTTGAAAACAATGGGTCAGTGTATGTGGTAACCACGTGGTATATCGGTTTCTTACAATCAGGTTACAAATGGGATGGAAGTAGCATGGGAGGTTTCAGAATGTTGTGTGTCAAATTCCAAGTTAAAACAATACTTTAACCAGAAACCAGTCAGTTCATGCAATAACAAAGAAACCAGTCAAACCATTTAAACAAGGGGAAGAGGTTTCAGAATGTTGTGTGTCAAATTCCAAGTTGAAACAATACTTAAACCAGAAACCAGTCAGTTCATGCAATAACAAAGAAACCATTCAAACCATTTAAACAATAAAATAACAAAGAAAGTTTGTACAATTACCAAATGTAATCTAATGTCAACTAAGTTTACAAACCAGTATGTATTACTGCTAAGGAATTACAATGTACAGTTCAAGATATACTGGCAGTATGAATCCAGGAGCAATCCAATAAAAAAGGCAGTGATTATAGCAATAGAGAGAGTGATGCTATCATCCATCTCGGAACAACAGTGGTAAAGTTTCCTAGAGAGCTTGGCTGGGATGCAGGGTGAACAGATACTTCAGCTTCACAGACATAGTGCTGCTCTCCATGTAATGTCGTAATGTCAGGTGATAGTCACGAGTGTGCTCCCAGTCTAAATAGAGTAACATGCACCCAACATCCCTCAAACTGAGTCTTCCTTGTGATACAGTGAAAACACTGTTTACAATGAATTACTCTGCCACCTAACCTTTGGTTTCTTGAGATGACTGAACACATTCTGTACATTCTGGGGGAAACAAGCTCCATGGTTTGTCTGTGGACCCTTTAACGAGTTCTTCTTTCCATGGGGAAAAACAAAATGCATTCTGAATAAACGATGCATGTATTCCGATTTCGTGGCTTTCATTTATTTGTATGTAAAGGGATCTGTCTGTTTGTTTGTCCGGTCAGAACGCCCAAGACCCTGGTTCGATTCCGAAACGTTGTGTTCATCATAATAAGAAGTTGACATCCATAAAAACTCTCTCTCTCGTTTGGCTGGAAACTCCTGAATAGAATTTCTTGCCTTGGATAAGTAAGTTAAAACGGACAGCAAATACAATAACTTGTCGACTGATAAACACCATATCAACTGATTTCATGAGGAAACAACCCACGCCTGTGTAATAAATGACTGATTTGTCACATATCTGTTCATCAATGCCAATATGAACACAAATTCATGGTTGATTTGTTCTCCTTTACAATCAGAAAGGCTAAATAGCAAAGGTACGTAAGCGTTTTACGCTGGTTTGTCAGTCTGTTCAAACCCATTACAAATTGGTGGGTTCAGATCATCTTAGTTAAGTGTTCCGATAACCACATGCAGTGTACACATCGTTCTTTGATTAGTGTCTGAAAATTTTACCAACGATGCTCGTGATTTCAGTCACTAGATTCAAGTGAAAACAATATGAAAACGCAGTAGATGTCTCTGTTTATTTTATCCAGTAATGATCCGAACTCTGTAACTCTAGGGTCCCAGCTGTTCCGGGTGGATGTTTCTATTGGCAAGAGATCTCAGACCTGATCGAGGAAACAAACACATGGCGTGTATTGAGGACATATTGGTATGGTGTGGGTCAGCAGACCTCACAACTGAGGTATAAAATGCACATGGGCTGTATTATGGACTTATAACTCAACAGAGGTACTACCATTACACTGAAGTTATATAATATCACTAGTTTACATAACTGATGGTGAATCGAATAAAGAATTTAACACATTTTAGTCATGAAAACATGGAGATTGTGAAATGTCGATATGCTTCATCTTTGTTCAAACTCTGCTGTAAATGAAATGGAAAAAAACAGCTTGCTAACATGTAAGTACCACACATTCCCTGGTGCAAATTATTATTCAGATAAGTCTTAGTTTAATTATGTTTGTGACACTTACTGGACGGGGCAACAAGAAACACACACCTGCCACAGCGGCCTGGAACCCAGCGTTGTAGTCACAGGCCACCTCGTTGTTGACGTAGTTGGATCGGTCGTCCTTGTAGCCGTCACTGCTATCGGGCCCTCCTACCATAGCTCCGTACAGGGTGTGGACATTAGGGGCGTGGCTGGACATCACCTGGGGTCCACAAGGAGCCGGTGGCCAGGGACAGGAGCTGAAGTTGCACCGTGACTACTGAAGTTCCGTCATAACTTGTAATTATTCCACACAAGAAAACTCTCAAGATATAATCCCTAAGCATATTGTTAACCAAGGTCGATATCAATTCCTACTTTCGTCACTGTGATATCATCATTATGACAGTTCCTACCTTGATCTGTGATGGGGACTGTGTGGGTAGTTCTTGCCGAACCCAATGAGATAGCTGAATCCAGTGTCTCCCAGAGCATAGTGGATCTGACTCATGGCCCACTCTCGGTACTTGTCCGGGTTCACTCCTGCCTCTGCAGCCATCAGAGCTGCTAACGCCATGTTGGCTAAAAGTAGATCCAATCTAATATTGAAGTGAGTTTCTACAATTGCGGCTAGCATTTCAGTTAAACATCAGTTGTGGCTGTAGGTGAATGTAGAAGCCAATGGAGATGAAACTTTCTTCACATCTTCACGTTAGAATGATGTATTCACTGTGCCACTGTTTACCATACAAAATCATCATATTGGCAAGACATGGGAGCATGTGTTGTGGGGTGAAATACATTTGTCTCGAAGGAATGTTGACGGACCTTCATACAGACATTCAACCTTTAGACACATACATTTGCAAAAGCAAAGAGATACCAATATACATATCTCAGTCAATACCCCTACATTCATATCTGAAACATTAAAGCAACATGATATCTGGGACATTACACCTACATGCATATTTGAGACATTACACCTACATGCATATCTGAAACATTAAAGCAACATGATATCTGGGACATTACACCTACATGCATATTTGAGACATTACACCTACATGCATATCTGAAACATTAAAGCAACATGATATCTGGGACATTACACCTACATGCATATTTGAGACATTACACCTACATGCATATCTAAAACATTAAAGCAACATGATATCTGGGACATTACACCTACATCCATATTTGAGACATTACACCTACATGCATATCTGAAACATTAAAGCAACACGATATCTGGGACATTACACCTACATGCATATTTGAGACATTACACCTACATGCATATCTGAGAGATCCCCACTGCAGCCTCCACGCCAGTCCTTTAGGTGTGTACTTAATGACCTGATTGGGGAACCAGTACTTCTCGAATGTGTCCTCCAGGTCCTGTTTGTAGATGTCTTTACGGGTCAGCTTGTAGAACAGGATCTGCCCAAATTTGAAAACACCGACTCGTATGAGAAAAACGTGAAATTCCTTAAGCTGAAAAACTTAAGTTCACAGTAGATAAATGGTAAACATATAGTTTCCCCATGAATTAACTGCCATCAAATGTTCGTAATTGTAATGTAGCGCATCAATGGTACCATCCGTCAGGTTTAACTCGGGAAGAAGGCCTGGGAATTGTAGTTTGTAAATCCGTCTTGGGGAAGGCAGGTTAGAGTTAGCTTCCTTTTGTTAAATACTTCCTTCGACCATAGGCCTCTTACATTTTGATCCTCACTCAAACAAGATAGAAAGCAAGGAATGCATAAATATGTCAGACATGCGCCCTGTCTCAAGTGCATGTAAAAATATCGTACATTGTTGGCGGCCTGGTTGTCGTCCCAACTCATGCCCCACGCCTCGCCAGGCTGGTGATATTTCTCAGCCTCCGTCAGGTATTTCGGGTCTCCAGTAGCCTGATACAGCCACAGTCCGGCCCAGGCGTGCTCGTCCGTGTTGTTCGTGGACCTGTGTGCAGATACATGTTTGTTTTTTCTCATTAAATGGTACACAGAGACACTGTATGGATATCTAGCCGTTACATCACCATCAGTATAACCCAACTTGCATAAGGGAATATATGACATACGGATAGAACTGGGCGGCTGCTGGAACACTCTGGCTGTATCGTCCCTTGTTGGCCATGGCGAAGTCATACAGCTGTACAGCGTGGTCCAACAGTGTCTTGGAATAGGCAGCGTCTGATGATGACAAAAACATAGCTGTTGCCATCTCAATAGAAGCTTGGTTTATTTAAAAGGCACTGCAGTAGTGAAAACGTAAATAGATTTCAAGTGACTATTTTACCTACATATTTATACACGTTAAATCGTATTCCCATATAAGCTATAACCAATCATGCCACAGCAAGACGTGGGATGAAAGTGGGTCTCAAATGTTACCATGTGCACTGCAAGAGCTGACAAGTTCAGATCTCACACAACTACCTTCCACAACGAAAGGATCATGACAAGATCTATACAGAGGGTCTCGATTCTCTTGTATCGTGCTACATAATAACATATACATATTTTATTGTAAAACATATGATTGGGATGATCAGGTGAATGCTTTTGAAACTATCTAACCTCATAATGCATATTCCGGCTGAACAGAGAGATCTGGATCAGTGTTATTCTCTACCTTTGTCCTTAAATGCCATGGATCCTGCGGCAAAGGCAGCTGCAGTTTGTCCAGCTACGTCACTTCCGGGTTTTGAAGGGGTGATCTTAAACGCGGGTCTGGCCATTTTCATGTCTTCCGGTCGGCCCCAGAAACTGTGGTCTGCCCCTCCGTTTCCAACCTTCGATATACAGCAGACACTTGTAAACGCAATAATAAACGTATTATTACATAGCATTAATTTTTTAAACTTAATGATAGTTGGACTTTGATCAAAATTTGGTAAATTTATACTACGCAACCTTACATATGCATCACAGACAAAAAGAAAATGTAATTCATCCTCTGGGACATTACTGTTACACATTTTACATATTGTTGAGGCATAACTATCATCTTTTGTCTTACATTACAAAGAAGGGGTAGATGATGAAGTCTAAGTAAGCATAAATATCGTCTATATTTTTTCTAATGTACATTTGTACATAAAACTCTACATCTAATAAAGATTTAATGGTCTTGTAGTAAGCTAAATGCGATGATTCATTAATTCTACTCAATATGCTTTGCCCCTTTACATCAATAAGCCTCTGTTTGAACATGGATATAAAATGATTAATATTGCCAACATCATGACTAAACCACACAAATCCAAACCCGTTGATGTTTAACAAACTTTTTACATATGATGCCCAAGTATATCTACCAGCTGCGTCGAGATTTTTCATCAAAATATAGCATTGCTTAGGATACCTGTCTTCAGACATATGAAGTAATATACACCAGTAACGTACACATTTAACATAATAATCAAGACTTATACAATATCTACCACAATCTGCTAATATAGCATTGCTAGAAACATGTTTACCTACGCCAATAACATATTTACAGAAATTTGTATGAAATTTGTTAATTAACTGTCGTTCTTGATAACCCCACACTTCTGCACCATAAAGTGAAATTGGCTTCACTTTGGTATCAAAGAGCTTAAAAAGAATATTAACTGGAATATTTGGATACATGTAGATTAACTTCTTTATAGAAAATAATGCCTTGTTTGCTTTGGTCGATAGTGTCTCTGTACATTTTGTCCATGACAGACGTGTAGAGAAGAGAATTCCAAGATAGTTGTAGTATGTAGAGGTTTTTAACTGTGCTCCTTGAAGAAACCATTTTTCATAGTGACGTAATCTACCTCCGTTTCGGAAAACCAATATCTCTGTTTTATCCATGTTAACTTGTAATCCCCACGTTGTACAGTAGTCATTTAGAATGTCAATTTTTCTTTGTAGTCCAATAACAGAGTCATCGAAAATACATAAATCGTCAGCATAAAGCAAAAGTAATATTTCTAAAAACTCAGATCCAACAAATATTCCTCTAATTTCCGCGTTTTCTAGCATCACCTGTAAATCTGATATAAACAGATTGTGGTGTGTGGAACTTGAGGAAGTAGTTGAGCGGCCATTGGGAGACTCATCTGTACATAGAGTTCTAGGGGACGTCCTGTGCATAGAGATCCAGAAGACTCATCTGTACATAGAGTTCTAGGAGACTCCTCTGTACTGTAGTTCACATGCCCGTGAGTTGAATTAACCCAGCAAAAAGGCGACTAACGTGATCGATTGGTCGTATCCTAATTACGTAGATCGATGCTCATGCTGTTGACCACTGGATTGTCTGGTCCAGACTCGATTATTTACATATAGCTGAATATTGGTGAGTTTGGACGTAAACAACAAACCAAATAGCAAGTTCTAAAGGACTTACCTGTACATAGAGTTCGTCCTTGGCTGTGTGACACTTGAGGAGGTAGTCGAGCGGCCACCTGATGCTGTCCAGCATGTTGTCGTACTGGCCGGATTCCACGTACGCCTCCTTCCACTGCAGCAGACTCCAGGTGAGGATGGTGGTGGACCACGACATGGGGAAGTTGAACTTGACGTGGTCACCAGCTAGGAAGACATGACAGATTCACCAACCGTAACACTTCTGCTTAGTTAAAATTCAACAATCAGTAGCAGGACAAGACCAAACATCCATTCCTTCCCCCTTTCCCTTGACACATTTGAGGTTGTCACCAGCTCAGGGCATGATGGTGTTGATATCACATGTTTAGGGACGCAATTTACTTGACAACGTCTCAGCGACGCTCCCTTCAACAATCGTTGACGTCATCTGATGGCCTTATTTATAAGATACTGACAAATTGCACGCCTTTGATGTACAGTTCAGTGGAGATACCTCCTAAACGACAACATAACCTGGATGTGAATTCGACTTGATAGAAAGAGACACATGGATTGTAAAGTGACAACAGAACTACGTACCGTCATACCATCCACCAGTGAGGTCCTCCCCATTATCTCCCTTGTCTCCTAGGGCGGAATCTCCTCTCCAGGGGATGGGGTTGTTTGCTGGCAGTTTGCCCGATCTCTGAGCGTCATAGAACAGAATGGACTTGTAGAGGACCTCGTCGTAGTTGTACTTGGTGCCTCCGGCTGTTTATAGGATAGGTAAGCTGTTAAACATGTGTTTACTTTTGAAAACAGGAATCTGTAGATCACCTGCAATTAAATAATAATTTGCATAACTGACATATTTGTTTGAAATTTGCCTATTCTTACTTCTTTATATTTACTTCCTTGGTACTATTGCTGGATTGTCATATAGGTTCACTTATAAACATGCCTCCCTTCTTAAACATTCATGGGTTATGTGAGAAGGCACTTGCTGTTTTTGACATTAGGGAATCCATTGTCGTCGTGGCCGAGGTTGGTGAGTGTAGCAACAGCAGATGGGGCGGACGACGCCTGTGTGTTGCCGAAGAAGCGGAGTTTGATGGTGTCCCCTTTGTCAAAGAAGACATGATCCTGCTTGTTGATGACCACCCAGGTTTTACCATCGGCAGACTTTTTGTATACATCGGCTACCCACATCTGTATATCATACACATGAGTTAAAAGAAATACGTTCGCTATAACATTGACTTTCACCCAATAAAGTCATCATCATCATCATAATCATCATCATCATCATCATCATCGCTACTCAATCATTCTTTTGATATCATTATCACTACTTAATCTTTCAATAATATAATCCCCATGAAGAATGATTATAACAGACAGTTGGGGAGAACATGCATCTTCATGTTACATCGTGGGTAGAAATTTACAATGAAAGAGAACCCATACACATGTTGTTACACTACGAAACTCTATACGGTTATTGTATCCACAAACTTACATCCAGTTTGTCCACAGGCTCTGAAAAGTTGATGGCTACTTCCCACCCCTCTATCCTCTGGTGGACAGGAAAACTAAACTCGGCTTCGAATCTGTTACCCCAGTCGTTGTATATCTGCATCTTGTTGGTGATAACTTCCTCACCGCCACCAATACCGGTGCCTTATAACAGCATGCATGTATTTTGAAAGATATATTTTCTTGACAATGTTCAAAGTCTCACACATGTCAGAACATAATTATAACGACTGCTATTCTGTGTTAGCATAGTATGGAAATAACATAGTTAAACGCCACAAATCCTATCAAAGTTATGAAATGGTTATTTCATAAGAGACATTTTAATTCGGATACTGTGGATTGGGTGGCTGGTTGTGACTTGCTGGTATGTCAACCTCCTCTGTCAATGGATCTGAACTACAAGTCTTACTTCAGGTTAAGCTACACGACACCAATTAAGCCCATTTCTGGTGTCCCCTGCCGTGATATTGCTAAAACATTGCTAAAAGCGGCGTAAACGTAATCTCACTCACTCACTCACTCTACGCGACAACAGCTACATATAGATGGAGGCAGATATTGAAGACTGATTATTTCCCTGAACTTCGGGAGACATTTTTTGATACCTGATGTCACAAAAGGAGCTGACGTGGCACCGACGCCGGACGTTGCACCGATGCCGGGTGTCTGCCCACTACTTCCTGGAAGTAGGGAGTTCTGTGGTCCAGCCGTAGGCGGCTGATCAGTAGGACCGTCCATACCGGCGATGTAGACTGTGGCGGAAGGGATAATATTGCCATCCGTTTTTCCCAGAAGGTTTATACAGATCTGGGAGCCAACATGTTCTTCTTTGTTCCAGTCTTTGTTGTGCATGATGAACTCAGTGTTGTTGTTTCTGGTCTCCACAATTTCAGCAGCTTGTTGCACCTTCAGATATATATATATATAGCATCGCTAGTCCGGATAATCATTGTGGGTAGGATATCAATATAGCAAAATGTCACCCCGACGTGACCTTGACATGTTATTATAGGTATTAATGTTTTTTTATAGTTTATAGTTTTAGTAGTTTATATCACAACTAATCTGTCTGAAAATAATTTCATCAGGACCAGACGATCCAGTGGCTGACTTCGATCACCACAACTGGGGTACGATGACACACATCCAGCGAGCACGGTGTCCCGATCCTGTTAACCGTCTCTTACTACAAGCATGGGTCCAAGCCTGTGCATTTTTACTTGAAACGCTACTGTCCAAAATACCATATTTCCTCTAGGTACCTAGACGCTTCTAATCATATCCACATGACTATTTCACCCTAAAGTCACCACAGTAATCAATAGCACCAACATGTTTTGCGCCCGTACTTGTGGAACACAATAATAGCTGGTCAGTGTATATTAGACGTTGAATGCGCCTTGTTTCTGGTGCAAATTGATAATACGTACATCAAGTGACTTGATTGACTGGTCAAAGATGACATGGGCTGACCATCCGTGCAGGTCTTCCGTGACAGGGATACAAAACTGACCATTAAACCCTCCTTCCCAATGTCCAGTTATCTTAACCTCTGATTCGGCGTGCCCATTCGCCAGCAGCACCAGTAGCAGTAACAGTCTCATAGTAGAGTTGAATGTTCTGATGACCTGCATGTAACCATATACTGTGACACATGTGACATATAGCTGCTTCACATCATAGTGGTGATACAAATTTTATTCCACCTCTGACAGGTGCGTATATTCAGAAAATGTCATTATTTTTCATATGTAGTATAAGTATTTCTTCCTTAAGTGGCATTTAGAAGCTGGTATGATGAAGTGAAACACTTTTATGGATATACACCTTCTTTGTTGCAGTAGTAGTTCGGTGTAGATCCTAACACCGTTATCAAGCAAATGATCATCATGTAGATCCTAACACCGTTATCAAGCAAATGATCTTCATGTAGATCCTAACACCGTTATCAAGCAAATGATCATCATGTAGATCCTAACACCGTTATCAAGCAAATGATCATCATGTAGATCCTAACACCGTTATCAAGCAAATGATCATCATGTAGATCCTAACACCGTTATCAAGCAAATGGTCACCATGTAGATCCTAACAACGTTATCAAGCAAATGATCTTCATGTAGATCTTAACACCGTTATCAAGCAAATGATCATCATGTAGATCCTAACACCGTTATCAAGCAAATGATCTTCATGTAGATCCTAACACCGTTATCAAGCAAATGATCATCATGTAGATCCTTGTACATCCTAACACCGTTATCAAGCAAATGAATCCTAACACCGTTATCAAGCAAATGATCATCATGTAGATCCTAACACCGTTATCAAGCAAATGATCATCATGTAGATCCTAACACCGTTATCAAGGAAATGATCTTCATGTAGATCCTAACACCGTTATCAAGCAAATGATCATCATGTAGATCCTTGTAGATCCTAACACCGTTATCAAGCAAATGATCATCATGTAGATCCTAACACCGTTATCAAGCAAATGATCATCATGTAGATCCTAACACCGTTATCAAGCAAATGATCATCATGTAGATCCTAACACCGTTATCAAGCAAATGATCATCATGTAGATCCTTGTAGATCCTAACACCGTTATCAAGCAAATGATCTTCATGTAGATCCTAACACCGTTATCAAGCAAATGATCATCATGTAGATCCTAACACCGTTATCAAGCAAATGATCATCATGTAGATCCTTGTAGATCCTAACACCGTTATCAAGCAAATGATCTTCATGTAGATCCTAACACCGTTATCAAGCAAATGATCTTCCGAAACGTGGCAACTACTACTGCAACAAAAGTTGTCTATCCATAAAAAATGTTCCACTTTCGTATAAGTATAACGGTTAAAAAATTATTGTCCTGTTTCATAACACGGATAGCTGTTTCATGACAAGCATATGGGTCCTACCTGGCTCAGCGTTTCTCGTGACTGTCTGTCTGCGTTGTCAGTTGTTATCTCTTTACCTAAATAATCTTTAACTTCAAAGACGTATGTCAACAAATTAAAGAAACAAGATCAAATAACGTTGTATTTTACAAACACAATCTGACCTCAATGACTTGTAACATGACACTAATTTGAACTGCGTACTTGTGAAAATCAACTCATTTACACACAGGATTGTTACGCAAGAAACTGGCATTAACTTCTACTGACGGGGTCTTAACGGTATATAAAAGGAAATGGGTGTAACGAAGCCAATATAATAAGTTCGTTTCAGGGCGAATTCAACAATGCTCAGTGTATATACTCACTTAAAACCTGTATGCGTTTCAAGGCAACCGATTCACCAACAACATGAGATATAGATCACAAAAATCGAAGCCGTATTTTGGGAGCTAGGGTCTTCGGAAGCTCGAAACATCGTTATTTCATCCTATACACTAATAACTTATGTTATATTTGGGATTACAGTTTCTTAGTAAAGTACAAATTCTAGTACTTTTTGGGTTGCGTCCCATCCGGGATTCGAACCCACACCCTCAGAGTCTGTAATCATATCTATACACTAACGATATCCCCCAAAACATGCTGCATTGATGGCACCTGTCAGCGCACTAATCTCCATTCTTTCGGGGACACATACACCTAAGTGCCATAAAGAATTTACACACATTTATTCATCGCTAGCAGGCCTGTGTTGTGCCCGTGCATTGTCACATCACCTTGGCCTTGACCTGCCCCGCACTGACAAGAGGCAGCGATCTGACTGGCTATACATTAAACATGTCCCATCAGATCGCTGGTAGAAGTATCCTATTAAGAAAAATCTGATCTTTCCATACCGTTTAATCTGTCATGGCACGAGGGATTAACTTCAATAACAAGAAATTATCAGGTGATCATTAATTTGTTGTAGTATCACTGAAATTTAACTTATTGTTTTAGTTACAGCAAAATCAGCAAAAGCGCTATATTGTCACTGACTTATCGGGCTTCGATTTGCTTTCACAGGATTGAATTGACCAAACATGATGGGGTAAAGGGCCACCGTCGCAGGAACAACGCTGGGTTCATGAAACACCACACGAGATTGAAATGACGATTCTCTGTCCGTGAATACGGAATTCCTTGGGGAGAAATGGACTGTCTCAAGTATGCACATATATGGTATTTTTGGTAAACAATCGACTGTTCGACCTGAGGAGCGGATGAACAAATGGCCTGGGGTTCGGAAATGGCTGTATACAAACGTACCTCCCTTAGGCGTGTCACAACCATTTGATCGCGGGTTCAGATATGAGCTTCACGCTGATGTCAATTCTCGTGTTGTTTTTCTAGTGGACGATGTTCCCTTAGCGCCAATCTTTTGTGTCCACATTTTATAATATGTTTTAGGTTCAATCAAACATTTTCTGTCTACGAAGATATCATAGACGTCTACTCTCTAGATGAAAATGTGTTGGGTCAAGGTTAAAACATTCACGACCTTCAAGTGTTTTCATGGAAGATGTAGGAGATCCAGTATATTGTTATCCTCCATAGCAAATTGTCGTTCTCAGCTCCTTGGGGAGTATACGACCCAGCCTAATGTTTCGGCGCTAGAAAGTGAACGTATCTCATTATACCGGGTACCCGTTCACTTGTTAAAGTAGACACATGTGCTCCATGCTCCCAAGAAACTCTCAGGAATCAAGCAGCCGAAGGTAGTCCCCAATTCAACTATTCTCTGTGACAAAGGTTTCTTTATTTCACCTGATTTCTTACTCATCCACAGGTTCACATGCAACAACTTTGCCGCAGTTTTCATTTTGAAGACGATTAATGACTATATTTTGTCTCAGTATCATACGTTTAAAGGTTTCTATTTTAAGTGCGTGTATCATGACTATTGGTGTATGTAAAGTAGGTTGCAAGATAAGACGGGTGATAGGTAACTATTTTAGGCGAGGCTGGACGACTACAGTGTCTTTTGTAGCCTTGCCACAGTCAAGGAGTCAAGAGGTAAGCCTACGTATGTATTGTACGTCGTTCAAACAGTCAGGTTTTCGTTACTTTATCCTGATGTCTAAATTATACATTCCTGAAGATATTTCAAGAATATATCTATATACATTTTCATATTTGTGAAGTAGAATTGGTTTATTGATCGTTGTACGTTTTAATGGGTTTGTTTGCTTGTCGACAAACAACAAGTGATAATCTTACCTGCATGTGATTGACATGACCATTCAGGATTAACATCCACGTTACCCTTCAAGGCCACCCGTCTATGGAGATAAGGCTGAGATGTGGGTCAACTTGACAATGAAGAAATGTGTGAGCGTTGATTTTAAATCGCAGAAAAAAAATTCAAAACGTGTGCAACATATTCTAACATCATATCACGTCATTTCTTTATAGGATAGACCTATTTTGGATGTACATTGATACAGACTGCAGATAATATAGCAAAGGCTTTCCAAGAAGTTAGATCACTGCATGTTTGGAATGAGCGAGTTAAGCGGAAGGTTGTTTTACTCTGTACAATATATTTTCTTACTGATAATTACTCTATGATCTGTTTCAAACATGTCCCCCCGCTGTGAGATTGATGGAATATTTGCTATATTCACTCGCTCACACTGTTTCAAATTCGCAAAGGAGAATCCGGGTGATGACAGCATGCGTTATCAAGCGTTTCGTGAGAGTGAATCATGTGTTTTCCTAACATTCATTTAGTTGTGGAACATTCCTTCCACGTAGAGCGCAGAGTGGCTCATATCTCTATTAATATGGGTTCTTAAGTTGGTGTTACATATGTTACAAAGTCCACTACCAACTGAACACGAACCTTGTGAAGATCCGGGTTACACCTGGTCTTCAGCAAACAACACTGGGCCCCGTTCCTGAAAGCAATTGTAGCGCTACGACTATCGTAAGTCTATGTTAAAGTATAGGAGTTACGATCAACTTAGCGCTACGATTGCTTTGAGGAACGGGACCCTGGTCGTAAGAGACGACTAAACATTTAGCGGTTCAAGGTGGTCGTCAGGCCCTCTGACTTGGTAGATCGATTCTCAACTACATGGACATGCGTCTGTGGTTGTTCATTTAAGCAATAACCTTGCCTTTGCCAAGAATCTGTCTGTTCCCCTTTCGGCGAAGGCCTGGTATAAATGTTTTTAACATATTGACACATAAACAAGGGTTTATGAATATGAATCGTTCTATGGCCTCTTTTATCGCTTAACGGAAGAAGACTTTGTCGGTCTTGTTGTAATATCATTGCAATTTATCTAGATACTATTGCTATTTTCTGCTCTTATCAGACATCATGCTGGTGTTGGTATTGGCGGCTCTAGCGGCTGCGGCCTCGGCGGCGGACGTCACCATCGGTAACCATTGGAACGGCGGGTTCCAGGCGAAGGCCTGCGTCCCCATCACCACTGAGCTTCACAGCTGGAAGGCTCACTTGAAGTTCTCTGAAGCTGTGGACACCGTAGAAGTGAGGATATAGTGTGTTGATCTTTAATAGTCATCGATTGAATGGGTCATACATAAGGACCCTGCTTGTAGCAAATATGTCTCTTCAGGCTTCAAACTTCAAGTGTATGGAGTGGATGTTAATAAAACGGAGGCAATGTTTTTTCTTTAAATAAAAAGAATCTAGATATATTATGTTATTCCATATTCAGATTCTATCACTGTTCCTATCCAACTTACTGCAGCAAATGTTTTTTCAATATTTCTTACCTAATTTTACACAACCAGAACGAGTAATGATCTAAATTTATGTAAAATTTGCTTGCCCATCTTGTGCTAAAAAGGTAAGGGTAAACGGTCGAGCGATATGATCATGGTCCCAATCCGTGCTCGGGCCGGCTGGTAGTCGGGTCGAACTCAAGATTCACCAAAATCGAGGGCTTGTTTCTGATTGCTCCGTGGTATTACTACTCAACATGCACCTGTAACCATTACAGTGTAGGAGCCCAGTCTGTTCAGTAACGTCGGTCGCGTAAAACTCTATACTGAAACCTTGTTGACAGGTCGGTACAGCCGATGTCCAGAAGTTGAGTGGCGGAAAGGAATTCGTCCTGACGAACAAGCAGTGGAACGCAGATGAACACGCTGGTGACACACTGTGTCTGGACATTGTCGGCCACACCACTGGTGACATCAACCCTAAAACAACCATCACTATAGAGGGCAATGTGGCTGGCGCTACTCAGGCACCCCCGAAGGTGGTTCACACAGGTGCGTTCTGTAGTTTGTGATTGCACACAGGTGAGTTCTGTTGTTTGTGATTGCACACAGGTGCATTCTGTTGTTTGTGATTGCACACAGGTACGTTTTGTAGTTTGATGTTTGCACACAGGTGCGTTCTGTTGTTTGTGATTGCACACAGGTGCGTTTTGTTGTTTGTGATTGCACACAGGTGCGTTCTGTTGTTTGTGATTGCACACAGGTGCGTTTTGTTGTTTGTGATTGCACACAGGTGCGTTTTGTTGTTTGTGATTGCACACAGGTGCGTTCTGTTGTTTGTGATTGCACACAGGTGCGTTTTGTTGTTTGTGATTGCACACAGGTGCGTTTTGTTGTTTGTGATTGCACACAGGTGCGTTTTGTTGTTTGTGATTGCACACAGGTGCGTTCTGTTGTTTGTGATTGCACACAGGTGCGTTTTGTTGTTTGATGTTTGCACACAGGTGCGTTCTGTTGTTTGTGATTGCACACAGGTGCGTTTTGTTGTTTTTGATTGCACACAGGAGCGTTCTGTTGTTTGTGATTGCACACAGGTGGGTTCTGTTGTTTGTGATTGCACACAGGTGCATTCTGTTGTTTGTGATTGCACACAGGTGCGTTCTATTGTTTGTGATTGCACACAGGTGCGTTTTGTTGTTTGTGATTGCACACAGGTGCGTTCTGTTGTTTGATGTTTGCACACAGCTGCGTTTTGTTGTTTGTGATTGCACACAGGTGCGTTTTGTTGTTTGTGATTGCACACAGGTGCGTTCTGTTGTTTGTGATTGCACACAGGTGCGTTCTGTTTATGGTTGCAACAGTACTATATAGCTGTACACATATCCACCAGTGGGATTGGTCGAGTTTGTTACCATGTTTGTTAATTAACTTTGTTGTTGAAGGTGGTACTTAACGATCCCAGCTGTATGACAGTAGCCCAAACATCCTGGATGACAGATAATCCAGAGACCTGCTTCGGTTTCTCAGCGAGTCTGACAAACATATTCATTTGGCCGCCAGACAGTTCTTGAAACACAGGCTCGTCGAGGATAAGCCGCTGGTTCGTCAAAGGGATGCAACTCTGCATATCAAATTGTGACGATGGAAGATTAAAGAATAACCTATATCCGAAATGATATGGAGATGCACAAGTAATGTGTACGGTATATTCCGTGTTGCAGGAGGCGGTACAGCCAGATACAACTATGGCGAGGCTCTTGGCAAGTCCATCCTGTTCTATGACGCTCAGAGATCCGGCAAACTTCCGGCCAACAACCCCATCAAGTGGCGAGGTGACTCCGCCCTGGGAGACAAGGGAGATAATGGGGAGGATCTGACCGGAGGCTGGTATGATGGTCAGTAGTCGGTTCCCTGGACACTATTTGGTTATATTTAGAACCCATAAACACTTTCGAAATTGCCATTGGGAAAAAATGTGTACATTATTGTTAAAATTGTGAAATATGCAACATCCATGTCACAGAGCAATCTTAAACACGATGGTCAGATGTAACAGATAATTCGTTACCACCCACAAAATATTGTTGTGTATACCCCATTTACAATTTACAGTGATGATGTTAATTCAGCGTATTGATGCACACCGTTTCAAATTGTCAATAAATCATTGTCTAAGTCCCAATTACGACAAGCATAGCTAAATGTGAGTGGAAAAGTTGACACCAGAAGTAAGTTTACATTCATATATTGTACTGGTCCATTGATCTTGCCCTCGAGTGACGAGCGAACGTTTCAACCAAAGTGCTATGCTCTTGTGCTAAAAAGCATTGTGATGAAAATCTGAGTATAATGACCAAATGTGTACTATAATACATAATTATTACCGCATATTCCCAAACGTATCATTGTTCTTTAACACGGGAACCCCGTTGCCTATCTTTGCTATGAACTACTGACTTTCTCTCCAGCTGGTGATCACGTCAAGTTCAGCTTGCCCATGTCCAGCTCCTCCACCCTCCTGCTGTGGGGCTACTTACAGTGGAAAGATGCCTATGCCACAACGAAACAAACAGACAAATTCTTTGACATGATCAAGTGGCCCTTGGACTACTACTTGAAGTGTTGGATTCCAGCTAGTCAGACGCTGTATGCACAGGTGAGATGTCGTTTTGGTATGTTTTCCAGGAAATGATTTGAGTGAATGTTAGTTCCCTACATCTATGGTCAGGATCATATTCCTTGTAGAAAGAAAGTAATGTTACTATTTTGCCTTTTATGCCTAATGGTATGTGTTGCGCAAATAATCGAGACGTTTGGAACAGAATTTGGAATTGTTAATCACCGTATCCATTCATGTTTTCAAACATAGCTTCTGATTTCCTCAAGGTTGGAGAAGGCAATGACGACCATCACTTCTGGGGCCGTGCTGAGGACATGAAGATGGCCAGACCCGCCTACAACTCACACCAAGCAAACCTGGATCAGATGTTGCTGGAGAGATTGCTGCCTCCCTAGCTGCTGGGTATATGGCATTCAAGGAAAGAGGTGAAAATAGCAAAGTCGACAGGCGAAAGAATGTAGTTGTCAGTAGCAGTTTTTATGACATGACCAAATGTGAAACATACATAATTGCGAGTGGCGGATAAACGATTGGAGAAATCTCACTTTGAAAACCCAATCAAAAATAATAGCGACCACACACATTTCTAGAATCATAAGGAAATGCACATGACACTAATACAAATAGGAAATTTCATCTCACCTCATTTTTGTTACTGATGAGCGAGATTCGTTTTATGCTGAGACATAAAAGAAGAAGGTGAATTGTACTGGAAAGTCTGTAAAGTGTAGGGTGTATAACAAAGGGTGTATCTGCTGGAACGTTTACAATTAGAAAGATGAAGAAATACCTCTTGTTGGGGAGAGTTAGTCGAACATCTACAAGGTTATTCAACATTATTCATGTTTTGCGGCACTAGTCGTAGTAACGTTGATCGGGCCATGACCTTGGATATCTCGTTCTAGATTAAAGCCATTACTTTTACATTCACATTGCAGCAGCATTTGTTGTGAAAATTTCAAACCACTGTAGACATATGGACCC